GACTGCAGTCCATCTGTTTCTCTGCATACTTTGTTAGCCCCCCTTAAAAACTCTAGCAGCACTGCTGTGTCTGATCCACTCATACCAGCACAACACACACTAACACACCACCACCATGTCAGTGTTACTGCAGTGCTGAGAATGATCCACCACCCAAATAGTACCTGCTCTGTGAGGGTCCATGGGGGTCCTGACCACTGAAGAACAGGCTAACAAAGTATCAGAGAAACAGATGGACTACAGTCTGTAACTGTAGAACTACAAAGTGCACCTATATAGTAAGTGGAGCTGATAAAATGGACAATGAGTATAGAAACAAACATAATGTTATGCCTGATTGTTGTATATACATATAAAAGACAATATATATTGTCATATTATCCAGCCCTATATATAATCATTAAACAAATAATAAAATCATATTATTTTAGCAATAATGTGGATCTATTTGATATGTCATCCTCAAACTCAACCTGGAATAATGTTCAATGGGAAGTTACATCATCTGAATTTCCTACAGTTCATCGGAGGAGGAACATTTAACTTTCTTCTTTATTTCCAGTAATGTTGTGATACTGACTGACGAGGTCACTTTGAAAGTTCTACCATGTTACACAAGGTAAATTATTTGTTTAAGAAAAAGTACATTTTCATTAAATCGTTAGAAAGTCCTCAACGTTCTCACGTCACTCACATGGGGCAGGACCCCTCTTGTCACTGGGGTGGAACCCTCAAGGGTCCATCTCAGTACCTTTAGTCAGGGAACATAACTGAACCATAATCCACTGAAATGATATGTTCTAAGCTGTACTGACTCCACACACCCCGTCTCGTCTCCAGGCTTTTATTTTACTGTTCTGTTTAAAACATTCGGTTATGAAAAGGTACAAATACGAACTTTTCACCTGGAAAAACTTATTTAAGGTTCACAATCAGACCTTAAAACCACTGTTGTACCTTTGAGGGAACATTTACACTGTTGTCAGATGGGTTAACACATTGTTGGAATGGATTAACACATGATTTCTTAGATTCAGTGTCGAAAAACGTTTAAAACAGTTAAAGGACTAAACCTCTCCCCAGTCCTGTGAGTGTGTGCGTTAATTGTTCTCTGTGTTTTACTACGGTGGTTTTAAATGCCCTCTGTTGGCTGGCAGTGCTGATAGCAGATCAGTTAGAGCAGCTCATGTGCCATTTTCCCTCCGAGAACATCCAAACATCCACTTCAGGAGGAGATCTGAGGTGTAAACGGGGCTCTGGCGAAGCTTAAACACATGCACACAGAAAGTTTGTGCGAGAGTGAAACTGATGCTTTCGCTGTAGGACATTTTATCCTCGTTAATTAGAGAGAAGTGCCTCTGTACTCAGCTACATCTGCAGAACAGCACTGATAACAGTTTTACTGCCTGATATAGAACAGTAGGAATACGCTGAAGTCAAATTAGCAAAAGCAAAAGAACCAAACATGAGTTTTAGTGACGTAATGCAGAACCGTCACTATTAAATTTGGCAAAACTTGGTCGAACTTCTACAATAATGCTAACTATGATAACGCATCACTAGTAATTCTAGTCATTTGTTAGCATTGTTAGCTGACAGTGATTCGCTTTTTTGGCTGTTCTAATTTAAACACAGACATTCAAGATTTCTGAAATCATTCCATGTTTCACGCGAAGCTTGTGACATGGATGTAAATGTACTAAATAAAAGGTATTTTTAGTTCCCAGAAATCATTAGGCCTTCTCTGAAAGCCTAGAAGAACCTGAAGGTTCCCCTCTGCTAAATGTATATACAATGGATGAGTAATCATTTTTTTGCAGCTTTCAAAAGGCCAAACATGGAAATTCAAAGCGGTGTTCTTTTGAGAGAACTGTTTATTATATACAGCTGATTTAATAATATTGTTACATTGTTCAAAATTGTCTCTAAAATAAAAAAAGCAGTCCAACACCAAAACAAAAGAATCATGAGTAGAAAGCCAAGCCGTACTTATTCTTTATATATTAAGTCGGAATTGTGTTATTATAACAGTAATTCCATACAATCATTAAAAGCATATTCACAGCAATTGTTTCTAATGAAGTGGCCAGTTGGTGGGAGAACAAGGTATTTCCAATAAAGTGGCCAGTTAGTGGAACAGCAAGGTGTTTCTAATAAAGTGGCCACTGAGAGGAAAAACAAGGTGTTTCCAGTAAAGTGGCCACTGAGAGGAAGAACAAAGTAGGGGTTTCTAATAAAGTGGCCAGTTAGTGGAAGAACAAGGTAGGTGTTTCTAATAAAGTGGCCAGTTAGTGGAAGCACAAGGTGGGTGTTTCTAATAAAGTGGCCAGTGAGTGGAAGCAAAAGGTGCGTGGTTCTATTAAAATGGCCAGTAAAGTATGGGTTTCAAATAAAGTGGCCAGTTAGTGGAAGCACAAGGTAGGTGTTTCTAATAAAGTGGCCAGTGAACAGGCAGACCCCCTGCACATACTTGTACTTCTAAATGCGTTTGTGAGTTAGAAGAACGTTTGTTGAAGTGTAAAGGTTTAAAATAGAGCAGACTAACATGAAAAACTGGGAAGGGAAAAACTGATACAAAGAACAAGCTAAACTGGGGTAAAAACAATGATGAGAAAACACAGAAAAGGGCAGAACACTAATTAGATCTAAACAACAAATCAAGAACAATGCATTACAGAGAACAAAATCGATCAAAGGACTATAAGTACATGGAAGATTGCCAAAACATAACTTGGGGGCGATCATCACAAGGAGGAGTTACAAACAAAACACAGGTGAGCAGGATAACGAGGGTGACAAGCCTGTCCCGAATATGACTGTACAGTGTATCAAAAAATATGAGCTGCTTATTTGGCTCCACTCTCTTAGCAAGATGGTTCTTTAAGGGTTCTACAGTAAAGACAATGGTTCTATATAGAACCATGAACACTCGAAGAACCATTTGCATTCTGAAACGGTTCTTCAGATTGTGTTGTATATGGTTCTATAAAGAGCATTTTTGAAAAAGGGTTCTTCTTTTGTTATAAGCTTGACATCTTCACAATAGAGTAACCATCTACAACACGTTCTCCATTGATCTGAAGAACCATTTCACCAGGCAAAGAACCCTTTAATCATGCAAACAGTTCTTACAATGTTCATGGTTGTAATAGTCCTCTGGAGATAGTGTGGTGGCAAACTGGCTGAGCTATTCTTAGGTTATAGAAGTGTGTAATAAAGCTTTGGGCCCACCGGCAGACCCTGGTCATTTAAGGGTTTTACTCTTTTAAATTCTGGTCATCTGACTTCAGTGATGATTGTGTTTGACTCATCAATAACCTGCACTATTTCTTGCTCCACTCATTAATCCCGGCCCGGCATGCTGCCAGGAAGGGTAACCAGATTCAATTTGGGACCTCAGGGATGGTACAGGCCACTTAGCAGTTGGAAACAACAAAATCGCTGCTTTCTTGGTATATACACTATAGAGGAACTGTAGACCTGCCTGATAATTACAACCCCATTTCCTAAAAAAGTTGGGACGCTCTGCAAAATGTAAATAAAAATATGATGATATGCAAATCATATAAACTATATTTTTAAAGGACAATACTACAAAGACAACATATCAAATGTTGAAACGGAGAAATCTTATTGTTTTTTGAAAAATATTTGCCCATTTTGAATTTGATGCTAACCCCATTTCCTAAAGAAGTTGGGACGGGGGCCTGTTTACCACTGTGTTTCATCACCTCTTCTTTAACAACACTCTGTAAGCGTTTGGGAACTGAGGAGACACTGCTGTAGTTTTTAGAGTGAAATGTTTTTCCATTCTTGTTTGATATAGAATTTCAGCTGATCAACAGTTCAGGGGCTCATTTGTCATATTTTTCATTTCATAACCCTCCAAATGTTATCAGTGGTGACAGGTCTGGACTGCAGGCAGGCCAGATTAGCACCCAGACTCTTTTAATACGGAGCCATGCTGCTGTAATACATGCAAAATGTGGTTTGACATTGTGTTGCTGAAATAAACAAGGCTTTCCCTGAAAAAGACGTCGTCTGAATGGCAGCATATGTTGCCAAAACATGTATATATCATTCAGCATTAATGGTGCCTTCACAGATGTGCACGTCACCCATGTCATGTGCACTAATGCCCCCTATACCATCATGAATACTGGCTTTTGAACTGTGCACTGATAGTAAGCTGAGTGGTCTTTAGCCTGGAGAACACAGTGTCCATGATTTCAGAAAAGAATTTCAAATGTTGATTCATCAGACCACAGGGCACTTTTCCACTTCCACTTCCACTCAGTCCATTTTAAATGAGCTCAGGCCCAGAGAAGGTGGCAGCATTTCTGGATCCTGTTTATATTTGGTTTCTTCTTTGCGTTTTAGACTTTTAACTTGCATTTGTGGATGCAGTGATGAACTGTGTTCACAAACAGTGGTTTTCAGAAGTGTTCCTGAGCCTGTGCAGTGATTTACACTACAGAATCATGTCTGTTTTTAATGCAGTGCCGCTTGAGGGCTGAAAGATCACAGCCAGCAAATACTGGTTTTTGGCCTTGTCCCTGGCATACAGAGATTTCTCCAGATTCTCAGAGTCTTTTAATGATATTATGTACCATAGATGATGAAAAGCAAAAGTTCTTTGCTCTTTTATGTTGAGAAACGTCATTCTTGAATTTTTGCACTATTTGATGGTGCAGTCTTTCACAGAGTGGTGAACTTCTCCTCATCTTTACTTCTGAAAGACTCAGCTCCTCTGGGATGTTCTTTTTATGCACGTTACTGACCTGTTGCCAATCAACCACCAGGTTGTTGTTTCTTTAGCATTACACAACTTTACCAGTCTTTTGTCACCCCGCCCCAACTTTTTTGGAACGTATTTTTGGCATCAAATTAAAAATGGGCAAATATTTTTCAATAAACAATAATATTTCCCAGTTTCAACATTTGATATGTTGTCTTTGTAGTATTTTAAATGAAATATGGGGTTTAAATGAACTGCACACCACTGCATTTTATTTTTATTTACATTTTGCACAGCATCCCAACTTTTTAGGAAATGGGGTTGTACATTATTTTTATCATTTTTTTACATTGCTAAGCTTTTTAGTTCAGCTAAGGCCCTACATCTCATATCACCATGCATGTTTGGTATTATTGACAGATATATAACATTTGTACAACAGAATCAGAGAAATTCAACTCATCCTTGATAAATATTTCTTAATTTAACTGATTTGTGACATTTCTTAATTTCTCATTTGAAGAAATAAGTTGCTGTGACTGCCGCATGGATGGTTCATGTTCGGGTCCATTAAGGAGGTCATGGTGCTCCTGTCCCTGTCAAGCTCTGTCCTTGCATGCATGCTGATATGTCTTGAGAGAGTCTGGTCCCATGGACAGTTTTCTCATAGACTGTGCTGCGCTGGGACACCTGAGTGATACTCGAGCGTTGGTGAGTCCCTCGGCAAGCAACCTCACGGAACATCTCTCTGAAGCGTGAGGACATGAGGTTGTAGAGGATGGGGTTGACCACCGAACTCAGGTAGAAGAAGATGCCAGAGGCCAGGTGGACGAACTCAAAGATGCGGTGGTAGTCTTCAGTCCAGTTGTCAATGTAGCTCCACATGACACGGTCGATATGGAATGGCGCCCAGCAAATCCCGAATACAATCACCAACACAACTGTTAGAGGGAAAATTGCACAATATGTGAGTGAGCACAATGTGAGTGTAGGAACTGACTGCAGACATTATTAATAGTTTTAGAAAATAACAGCTTCAATAGCAGGAAAAATCTACAGTATCTAGCCTCATCCTGGAGATTTACATTCCTGCAGGTTTCACCTCCAACCCAAATCACACAAAGCTTATCCAAAGCCTAAATCTGATCTAGATACTCAAGGACTTTTGAAGCTAAATAAATTGTGGTGGATAAGATGTTGGTGATCATAAACACTGTGTGCACTTGGCTGCCACTTCACATCAGTCCTGTTTGCTTTGTTTTGTACTGTTCATTGCTATGTTTATGAACTCTCTCTGCTGGCTAAGTTGTTTGACACTGTCAACTGAGAGACCCAACTAAGAGACATTTCTCTGACACGGAGGAGTTTCCTGGACCTATGGCTAAAGAGTTTTCCACACGGCTGAGTTACTTGTGGCTGAATAGTCTTCCCAGGAAGACCAGCAGTGAATCCTTCCATGTGGCCGAGGAGTTTTCCCAGGCTTGCTGGCAGAGAGACCTTCTCTCAAGGCTGAGGAGCTTTCCCAGGCTTGTTGGCAGAGATACCTTTTCCTAAGGCCAAAGATTTCTCCTAGGACCATGGCTTAGAGGTTTTCTGCAAGGCTAAAGTTTTACCTGTGGCAAAGGAGTCATCCCAGGCACACTGGCAGAGAGACCTTCACAGCTGAAAAGTTTTCCAAGGCTCCCCAGGAGAGACTTTCCACACAGCTGCAGAGTTTACCCTATGACTAAGGAGATTTCCTGGGACAGCGGCTGAGGACTTTCCCTTGGCTCACCAGCAGAGAAACCTTTCTCTGCAGTTGTTTACCCTGTGGGTGAGGAATTTTCACTGTCCTTCAGACAGAGGAGTTTCCCCTGGCTCACCAGCAGAGAGACCTTTCACTGTGGTGTAGGAGCTTTTCTTGTGGCTGAGGAGCTCTCCTGGGCCCACAGATGAGGAGTTCTCCTGGGCTTACCAGCAGAGAGACCTTTCCCTGTGCCTGAGGAGTTCTCCTGGGCCCACGGACGAGGACTTTTCCTGGGCTTACCGGCAGAGAGACCTTTCCCTGGGCTCACTGGCAGAGAGACCTTTCTCTGAGTTTTCCACATGGGTGAGGAGTTGTTTGAAGGCTGAAGACTGGGACCACAGATGAGGAGTTTTCCTGGGCTTGTGGATAAAGAGGCATTTCCTAGTGGCTGAGGAGTTTTCCCACAGCCGAGTGGCATGTGTTTTGTCTGCTGTTGATTTCTGTGTTCTTATTGCTGTTGTAAAGTGACCTCGTGTTTGAAAAAAACTATACAAATTGAGCTCATTATCTTTATTATCATCAATTAATATTATTATTTATTTTGGACTGGAGCTCTGCAGGAATGGCTTCCTAGAGGATGACTAACACAAACTGCATCAACAGATGAGCTACAGTCTCTAACTGTACACCAGCAAGGTGGGGCTATAAAGTAGAAGTTGATAGTGACAGTGTTAAGTCCACAGTGAACACCTCAATAACAGGTGCCTTGCAACTCACCTAGCATTTTGGTGACCTGCCGGTGTCGTGCCTTCTGCTGGACGCTCTGTGCTATATAAATCCTATTCTGCTCAGGCCATGCCTTGGTGTTAACTGTCAGCCTCTCACGCCTCAGTTGCAGGCCGATCAGCAGGTAGAGCAGGCTGATGGTCAGCATTGGCAGCACGAAGAAGAGCAGCGCCGTCACCTGAACTAGCAAGTTGTAGATCCAGGCGGGTCGTACCAGGCCGCACACGGCTGAATCTGGGAACGTTTGTCCAAAGCGAGGTGGAAGCAGCAGGACTCCATGCAGGCTGGTGTTGGGCAAGGCGCAGATGAAAGATGCCAACCACAGGGCTAGGATCACCCGTTTGGCATGGGCCCTTGTAACAACATGCTTGGCACGCAGTGGGTAAATTACAGCCACATAACGTTCAGCACTCAGGCATGTGACATTTAGAACCGAAGCCAGGCAGACGGTCTCAAAGAGGCATGTCTTGAAATAGCAACCGCCGGTTCCCAGCAGGAATGGGTAATTGGACCAAAGCTCATAGAGCTCCAGTGGAAGTCCCAGAAGCAGGACTAGCAGGTCGGACATGGCCAGGCTGAACAGATAATAATTAGTGGGGGTCCGCATGACCCGGTGTCGGGCGATGACCACGCAAGTGAGCCCGTTGCCCACCACCCCGACCACGAAGATCAGCAAATAGACGATGCACATAGGCATGAAAAGCGGTGAGCGGCGGTGACCCAGGTGCTTCAGCAGGTACTCGTTGCGACTCAAGCAAAGGTCCGGAAGGTCTTCCAAGCTCACGTTCCACATGATGCACTCTCTAGACTCGGGGCACCATGATGGGTCGGGGAGGACGTATGTATTTTCAGGTGACGAGCAGTTGTGCGGAAGCATGGTTTGGTGATAATGAGACCTGTAGAAGATACCATACATTATAGACATTTATAAATTATAGATTATAGATTATAGATGTAGATATATAAATGGACAAATGTAGTTGACCCAGCTCAAAATAGTAGAACGACAGTCTTAAGGTCTGAATTTTGTCAAAAATAAGTGTATGTCATAGAGTGTAAGACAAATGTTAGTTGTGCAGCATGCCAACCAATCAGCACTCACTAGCAGTAATGCTAGCATCCTGCACTCTTAAAAGAGATGATTCTCCAAGGGTTCTTTAAAGACAGGGTTCTGAATAGAACACTCAGAGACCCATTTGCATACTTAAAGGGCTTTGCATGGTTCATGAAATGGTTCTTTAGATTGATGGAGAATGTGTTGTATGTGGTTCTATATAGAACCTTTTTGAAAAAGGCTCTGCTGTTGTTATGATGTCAAGTTTTTAGCAATAGAATAACCTATTAAGGTGATACATAAACAATATACAACACATTCTCCATCAATCTGAAGAACTGCCACCAGGCAAAGAAACATTTAAGCTTGCAAATGGTTCCTTGAGTGCTCATGGTTCTATATAGAACCACTGTCTTTACCAAAGAACCATTGAAGAACCATATTTTTAAGAGTGATTTCCCTAATACCTGTTTTCTGTAGAATAACATTAAGATACTGGTGAGTTTCCACCAAACTTTTAATGTACTTTCCAGTCCAAGGAAGTTCCTGCATGAATGACTACAAATGTTGTTTTTTAGCTGCTTCGCGTTATTCACCCCCATTCATTAAGGACTTGCTCATGGGCACCCTCTAGCATTTTGCAGCCTGGTATTGGTTTTTGGTATAATATGAGGAATAGCACTTGGCCAGGTTCCCCATAAACTGGCTCTGCTATTGTTTTTCCCTCCACTATTAAAATTGAGCGCTGTCCCTGCCTAACTGTCCATGGTGCCGACTAATCAACACACCAGTGGACTAGTTTATGCAACCACTACCTGTAACCCATGAAGGCTCCCCAACCAAAAGCCCCATTGAGTCCTCATTGGTTAACATTATTTAGCCCACATTAAACCAATTCATTTTGTGTAGGACATATGCATTGGTGGTGGAGCCATTCTATTTTGCTTGAGGGGTGTTGCGACAAAGATGTGCTCACTTAGTGTTGATCTATATGCTCTACTTCTTTGAAAAGTCAAGCCCATCATTTAAGGTGTGTATTGTTTAGCAAGACCCTGATCTCTAAGTATGCAGCTTCTCAAGAGACCATCATTCTTTCACGGCCAAGCAGGGTGGAAGTAAACATGAATCGGTGGCATGAGGCCTGTGTTTATGTTAGCAGCAGTCTCTCACTCAGGGCACGTCCAACCATCGTTACCCAGCAAACACAATCCCAAACACTGGGTTGGTATATGATATTTCCAGATTTCCTGTTGGGACAGCTGGGAAGTCTAGAATGTTCTTTGTTGAATTACACTTAATCTAGTTAATGAGTGCTTCTTTACCTGAACATCCTAAAGGCTGTAGCCTTTATCATAGTTGTTGAGATCAAAATGCTTAGGTTTTAAATACTTGATAAACATCTGACAAACATCTGATAAACACCAGATACACATTTTATAAACGTCTGACAAACATCTGAGAAACATTTAGAACACATCTGATGAATTTTTGATAAACACCTGACAAACATCTGATAAACATTTGACAAATATCCGACAAAACATCTGATAAACATCTGACAAACGCCTGATAAACATCTGATAAACATCTGCTAAAAGCTTGACAAACATCTGATACACACCTGATTAAAATCTGACAAACATCTGATAAAAACCTGATAAACACCTGATAAAAACCTGATGAAAACATGATAAACATCTGGTAAACACCTGATACACATTTTATAAACGTCTGACAAACATCCGAGAAACATTTAGAACACATCTGATGAATTTTTGATAAACACCTGACAAACATCTGATAAACGTTTGACAAATATCCGACAAAACATCTGATAAACATCGGACAAGAACCTGACAAGACATCTGATAAACATCTGACAAGAACCTGACAAACGCCTGATAAACATCTGATAAACATATGCTAAAAACCTGACAAACATCTGATACACACCTGATAAAAACCTGATGAAAACCTGATAAACATCTGACAAACATCTGATAAACAACTGACAAACATCTGACAAACATTAATAAATACTTTATACATTTTGATGCACATCTGATTAACACCTCCTCAGTGTTTCTATCTAGAACGGCTCTATATTCTCTCTGTGTGTATTAAAGGTGTTTTAAACTCTGAAGAGAGCACTGAGAAGATTCTGTGATCAGATCACTCACCTGCAGAGAGAGAGAGAGAGACAGTGCTGAATGAGTGAGTCTCAGACAGTGTTCAGGAGTCGGGATCAGAGATACTGTCCGCAGATAGGGGTCAGAGTTACCGCTGCAGGTAGGGGTCAGAGATACCGTCCGCAGATAGGGGTCAGAGATACCGTCTGCAGATAGGAGTCAGAGTTACCACTGCAGATAGGGGTCAGAGATACCGTCCGCCATTGGAGATCAGAGATACCGTCCGCAGGTAGGGGTCAGAGTTACCATCCGTAGGTGAGGGTCAGAGTTACCGTCTGCAGGTGGAGATCAGAGGTACCGTCTGCAGGTGGAGGTCAGAGATACCATCCACAGGTAAGGGTCAGAGTTACCGTCCGCAGGTAAGGGTCAGAGTAACCGTCCGCAGGTAAGGGTCAGAGTTACTGTCCACAGGTGGAGGTCAGAGTTACCGCCTACAGGTAAGGGTCAGAGTTACCGTCCGCAGGTGAAGGTCAGAGTTACTGTCCGCAGGTAAGGGTCAGAGATACCGTCCGCAGGTAAGGGTCAGAGTTACCGTCTGCAGGTGGTCAGAGATACCGTCCGCAGGTAAGGGTCAGAGTTACCGTCCGCAGGTAAGGGTCGGAGTTACTGTCCACAGGTAAGGGTCAGAGTTACCGTCTGCAGGTGGTCAGAGATACCGTCCGCAGGTAAGGGTCAGAATAACCGTCCGCAGGTAAGAGGTAAGGGTCGGAGTTACCGTCCACAGGTGGAGGTCAGAGTTACCGTCTGCAGGTGAAGGTCAGAGATATCGACTGCTGATGGAGGTGATGGTCAGTCTCCTGCCGCATTGTCCACAGCTTTAAACACTTTACACTTCTCTCTCAGTAATAAAGCGTCAGTGCGATCCCTTCTTTTCTCTTCTTCTCTTTCAGTCGGCTGAAGTGAAGCTGCTCGTCTCTGATGTTCACCTCGTTCTGTTTCTCTGTTCTTTCCTCCTCTCATGAATGACGTTGTGTTCCTCTTGGATTCCTTCCTACACCCTCTCTCTCCTCCCCTTCCCGTCTCTCATTTGCTCTTCTCTTTTTATCCCCCTCTCTTTATCCCCCTCTCTTTATCCCTCTCTCTTTCTCTCGTCTTTTTTCTTTTTTTCAATCTCTTTCCCCTCACATAATTTTCTTTCTCCTTCTCTGTTCTCCTTTTTTTCTCCCTTTCTCTTTCTTTCTTTCTTTTTTCTTGCTCTTTATCTCTCTTTTTTACTGTCTTTTTATCCTTTCATATAATCTCTCTCTCTCTTTCTCTCTCTATCCTCCCACTCTTACTCTCTCCCTCTCTCTTATCTCTCCTCCTCTCTTTTTCTCCTCTCTCTCTCTACTCTGGCTCTCTCTCTACTCGCTCTCGCTCTATTTCTCCTCTCTCTACTCTTTCTCTCTCTTCTCTCCTCCTCTCTCTTTTTTCTCTCACTCTCTCTTTCTCTCTTCTCTCTCCCCCTCTCCCTTTCCCTTTCACCCTACTTTCCCCCTCTCTCTCTATCTTTCTCTCTAACTTCTCTTCCCCCCTCCCTTTCTCCTCTCTTTCTCTACTGTCCCCCTCTCTCTATCTCTCTCTCTATCTCTCTCTCTCTCTCTCTCTCTACTGTCTCTCTCTCTCTCTCTCTCTCTCTCTCTCTCTTTCTATCTCTCTCTCTATCTCTCTCTCTCTCTCTCTCTCTGATGTATTGGTGTGTATATTGGTGTTTACAGTGCTCTCTGGACGCCTGCTGTTCTTTCTCTCTGCAGCTGCTAACAGGAGTCAGCGAAGGTCAGAAGGTCGGAGACTTGGCTGCTCGGTATGAGAGCCGTTCGGCCGGTCCAGGTCCGTGGGACTGAAGCGGGTGTGCAGTGTTCCAGCTGTGCTCGCGTTAAGCAGAGAAATGATGAAACAGAAGGTGGTTTTACTCCTTTAACTGGGCCTTTATTCCGTCTCTGAGATCAGGACCCGAAACACTGCTGACCTTCAGCTCTGATCTCAGTGTCTTCTCTGTCTGAGACACTCAGCAGGTCCCGGTCAGAGATTAAAGACTCTGTATCTCCCGCAGCCGCGCCCTCTCACACCCACGGGCATGTGCAAAAGTTTAGGCGCTCCTGCTTATATTACACATTTTTGCTCATTTTAGTAGTGAAAATAAGTCTCTTCTCTTCTTCTCTCTCCCTCTCTTTCTCTCTTTTTCTCTTTTCATCTCTTCTTTCTTTCCTCTCTCGCTGATTCTCTCTCTTCTCTTTCCCTCTCTCTCTCTTCTCTTCTTCCTCTCTCTGTCTCTCTCTCGCTTCTGTCTTTTGCCTCTGCTTTCTCTCTCCTTCTCTCCTCTTTCCCTCTGTCTTCAATCTTTTCTCACTCTCCCCTCTCCTTCCTTCCTCTCTCTTCTCTTTCTTCCCTCTTCTTCCCTCCTTTCTCTCTCCCCTCTGCTTTCTCTTTCCCCTCTCCTCCCCTCTCTCCCCTCTCTTTTCTCTCTCTCTCTCCTCTCTCTCTCTCCCCCTATTATCTCTCTCCTCTCTCCTTCCTCTCTCCTCTCTATCTCTCTCCCTCTCTCTCTTTCTCTTTCTCTCTCTTCTTTCTTTCATCTCTCTGTCTCTCCCTCCCTCCTTGTATACGGCACATTCTCCATTGATCAGAAGAACCATTTCACCATGCAAAGAACCATTAGTACTTTTGAAGCTCAGTGTGTGGCCCTCTTGTTTTTTCATTCATTTAATTCTGTGGTAAATTACCCAACATCATCTGTGAGGGAGCTTTTAGAGGTGGACATCTGTTTCCTATCACCACCACTGTGAACAGTTCTGGCTCGGTAAGTTTCTCTAGAACAGAGCGTTTCACACCAAACCACTCTGAACGACTCTGTTTACAACTTAACCCCTTATTTATGTGGAAAGCTTGCTGGAGTTCCCCTTTAAAACTGGTATCTGTGCTAAAATGCCTATATCAGATGGGTATCAGTGTTCAGAGCCAGCACTTCATTGTCCAGCGGTGGTCAGAGGACACACTGGCACACTTCAGCAGGCCTAAAAGGAAGGTTCCAGGTTCCAGACGGACGCTGCATTAGCGTGCGGTAGGTAAAAGCCCGGCCTGAACGCAGCAGCATCTTAAAATAACTTAGATGACAGTCAGTATATCACAAACAGCTGGCTCCCTTCAGCAGAGGCCTTCAGAACGCAGTGTCCACTGCGTAACAGTGACATAATCTCTCCCAGCTACATCTACACTCACTCTGCTTATGCTCTGACCGCATCATTGTTCTCCTATGTGCTTATCGGTCATTACTCAGCGCAGACAGGCTGATGTTAGTCACACAGAGCAGAAGAACATGGCTTTATGCTTTGTTAGCACAGTTGAACGAGGCCTCCTCGATGTGCAGATGGTGATCAATGTCCCTGTCTGTGTCTCCCAGGTTTAAACCAGCAAATAAAAGCCACAGATAAAGGTGTTTGACAGGGAGGCCTGGAAAGAGGACTATCTATCTCTTTATGGCTGTTTATGACCAGGATAGATCATCTCTCTTCCCGGTTGTTGACCTTGCATTGGTGTGCTCAGTCTTGTGAACAGCATCATAAAACGTATCGGTGCATTTCTTCAGTGCAGTAACTGGGCAGTTTTCCTCTCGAAGGGTCGATATCGTGGAAAAAAGAATGTTCCTCACTACTTTTTTAACTCGTTACATGGTCAGGACCCAAACACACTTCTACAACCTGAGAACAGCTCAGTCAGTTTGCACTGAAGTCCCTGTAGTTACTGAATAATGAGTATGTAATTAGACTGGGATTTTCAGGAATTAATAAAAGAGTCTGATTTAATGTGTATACATTATTAGATTTTCATAACATACAGACTTCCCAGCCCACACGGCCCATGTATGGAAACAAGGCTCAAAAACGGTCTGTTGTTGTAGATGTCATTAAAAACAGTCCATTTACAGACACATATTCAAATGCTTAAAGTTTAACACCACTGGTCAAACAACGCTTTGTTGATTTTCTAACTAAAAATCAGTTAGAACGCCCTCTACAGAGAACACGCCTAGATATGACATTTTTCCTGATTTATGCATGTTTTCATCATTTTCATTTTTTTAAATGCATATAATGCATATTATATGATGCAACTATTAGCTGAATTGAATATATTAGGAAACAATGACAAAGTATGGATTAAAATTGTGCCATAACTTTATGCCACATTTTGTTTTTGTTTTCCCAATTTGTTAAATTCAGCAAACAAGCAGTAACAGTGCATTAGTGAGAACAGACTCATATAGATCAGCATTTTATTAGTAAAAAACTGACCAATGATGAAGGACTAAAGGACGGCTAACTGCATCAACTCTCTAACTGAATAGCAGCAGAGAGGAAAGAACAAGAGTAGAAATGTACTTACTGTATCTGTATATCTGTCTGTCTGTCTGTCTGTCTATCTATCTATCTGTCTTTCTACCTATCTATCTGTTTGTCTTTCTATCTATCTATCTATCTATCTATCTATCTATCTGTCTGTCTGTCTTTCTACCTATCTATCTGTTTGTCTTTCTATCTATCTATCTACTTGTCTGTCTGTCTATCTATCTATCTATCTATCTATCTGTCTGTCTGTCTGTCTGTGTCTGTCTGTCTATCTATCTATCTATCTATCTATCTATCTATCTATCTATCTATCCATCTATCTGTCTGTCTTTCTACCTATCTATCTGTTTGTCTTTCTATCTATCTATCTATCTATCTATCTATCTGTCTGTCTGTCTGTCTGTCTGTCTATCTACCTATCTATCTGTTTGTCTATCTATCTATCTATCTATCTATCTATCTATCTATCTATCTGTCTGTCTGTCTGTTTGTCTATCTGTCTGTCTGTCTATCTGTCTGTCTATCTGTCTGTCTATCTATCTGTCTGTCTGTCTGTCTGTCTACACTGCACAAGTACTCACATAAAAAGGTGGTTCTTTAAAGGTCCTTTAGTAAGGAAAATGGTGTTTAACACTGTGCATGATTGAATGGTTCTTTGCATGGTGAAGCGGACTGTTCTCCAGACTGATGGAGAATTTGCCGTATGTTTAGGTTCTGTGTAGCACCAAAAAGGGTTCGGCTACTGCTACAAGCTTGACATGGTAACAACAGAAGAACCCTTTTTGGTATTATATAGAACCATATACAACACATTATCTTTCAATCTAAAGAACCTTTTCACCATCCAAAGAACCTTTTAGTCATGCAAAGGGTTATTTGAGTGTTCATGGTCCTATATAGAACCACTTTTTACCAAAGAACCCTTGAAGAAGAGCGTATACTGTAAAAGCACAACAGTGAAGAAAAATAGCAATAAAACAGACTTTAGTGGGACAACACTGCCCCCTTTGGGCTAAAAGTGGCGAAGAAGTAAGTGGGTCCAGTTATTCAGGTTTCATTCACTACAGTACGGTTCTGATGGATTTGTACTTATCTGAGATTAGATGATACTTTTACTGCTACTCAGGAGACGAGGAGAGTAATCTACTTTTTCCTCTGTTCCATTTCAGTCCTTCACATTTAGTCCCTAATTCCTTTTTGGGGTATAATTTCATTCTGCTGTGTTGGTTCATCACCTGGACCGCTTTACTCTTGCTTTTTAAAATATTTATTTAGGATTAAAAGAGTTGCATTCTATTTTTTACTGCTTTAAGCAGAAAAATGAGTTCTGATAACAGAAAACTGCAGAATCGTGAGTAGAACTTCTTACAGGTTGCATTACAAAGACCGACCTGTCACTAAATAACAATTTACAGACTCAGTGAACGCAGCCTGGCGTACAGACCGGCCACTTTAAGAAACCACAGTACAGGCTCAGTGAACGCAGCCTGGCCATACAGACCGGCCACTTTAAGAAACCACAGTACAGACTCAGTGAACAGAGACAGGCCGTACAGACCGGCCACTTTAAGAAACCACAGTACAGACTCAGTGAACGTAGCCTGGCCATATAGACTGGCCACTTTAAGAAACCACAGTACAGACTCAGTGAACAGAGACAGGCCGTACAGACCGGCCACTTTAAGAAACCACAGTACAGGCTCAGTGAACGCAGCCTGGCCATACAGACCGGCCACTTTAAGAAACCACAGTACAGACTCAGTGAACAGAGACAGGCCGTACAGACCGGCCACTTTAAGAAACCACAGTACAGGCTCAGTGAACGCAGCCTGGCCATACAGACCGGCCACTTTAAGAAACCACAGTACAGACTCAGTGAACAGAGACAGGCCGTACAGACCGGCCACTTTAAGAAACCACAGTACAGACTCAGTGAACGTAGCCTGGCCATATAGACTGGCCACTTTAAGAAACCACAGTACAGACTCAGTGAACAGAGACAGGCCGTACAGACCGGCCACTTTAAGAAACCACAGTACAGACTCAGTGAACAGAGACAGGCCGTACAGACCGGCCACTTTAAGAAACCACAGTACAGACTCAGGGAACAGAGACAGGCCGTACAGACCGGCCACTTTAAGAAACCACAGTACAGGCTCAGTGAACACAGCCTGTCCATACAGACTGGCCACTTTAAGAAACCACAGTACAGACTCAGTGAACAGAGACAGGCCGTACAGACCGGCCGCTATAAGAAACCACAGTACAGACTCAGTGAACGCAGCCTGGCCGTACAGACTGGCCACTTTAAGAAACCACAGTACAGACTCAGTGACCACAGCCTGGCCGTACAGACCGGCCACTTTAAGAAACCACAGTACAGACTCAGTGACCACAGCCTGGCCGTACAGACCGGCCACTTTAAGAAACCACAGTACAGGCTCAGTGAACGCAGCCTGGCCATACAGACCGTCCACTCCATGAAAAAAAGGATGGAAAACGCTGATGTAAACAAGAATAAACACAAAACCTCACAAACATTTGGAGGAGGAGAAACTTTATTCAGGTAAAAATGATGAGATGCTGAAAAGGCCAGAAAAGGATGGTGAGTAAGGGGACTGCCCAGGTGGAGGAGTTTAAGTATTTCGGGGTCTTGCTCATGAGTGACGGGAAGATGGATGGTGAGATCGGTGGCAGGCTGGGACAGACGGCAGCAATAATGCGGTCACTGTACTGGACTGTAGTGGTGAAGATGGAGCTGAGCCATAAGGCAAAGCTCTGTGTTGACCAGTCGGTCTACATCTCCACCCTCACCTGTGGTCATTGGGTAATGACCGAAAGAATGAGATGTGGATACAAGCGGCGGAAACGAGCTCTCTTCACAGGGTGGCGAGCTACACTCTACTGACAGGGTGAGGAGCTCAGTCATCCAGGAGGAGCTCAGAGTACAGCCGCTACTCCTCCACATTGACAGAAGCCAGTTGAGGTGGTTCAGGCCCCCTGGCCACCTCCTGGTGGAGGTTTACCAGGCACGGGCAACTGGGACGAGACCCCGAGGTTGTCCCAGGAGCTGCTGGGGGGATTATATCCTCAAGTTACCCTGGGAGCAGCTTGGGGTGCCCCAGAATGAGCTGGAGGAAGTTGAGGGGGACAGACCTATTTGGGATTCTCTGCTTTTGCTTCTGCAACTGCGACCCCAGTCGGACCAAGAGGTTTAAGATGATGATGAGGATGATGATGATGATGATGATGAAAGCGGGAAAATTGTGGAAAGCGGTTCTTCACTTGAGCACAATGTAAACTTTTGGCCACCAGATCCAGAAGGTGGCGCCGGGCTGCAGCCCTAGTCTCTTCCTGATCTTCAGGAACCTGCTCTTCTCCTTCTTCTCAGCAGAATCACTGTTCTCCTGGGCTTCCTTGTCCTCCATGCTCCTTCCAGCCTTCCCCTCTTCTTTCTCTTCTTCCATTCGTAGCAGCTCTTCCTTGAGCTTCTTCTTCTTCTCCTTCTCCTTCTCCTTCTCGGCCTTCTGGGCCTGCTTCAGATCCTTTTTAGCTTGTTTTTCTCTCTCTTTCTCCTCCTTTATCAGCCTTTTCAGCTGATCCTTTATGATCTTCTCCTCCTCTTTATATCTCCTCATGGTCTCCTTGAATCTGAGCTTAAGCTCAGCAAGCTCCTCCCTCAGTTTCTTCTCCGCTTCCTTTCCTGCTTTCCTTGCTTTCTCCTCAGCTTTCTCCCACTCCTTCTCCTCCTTCTCCTCCTTCTTCTCCTCCTTCTTCTGCTGCTCCTTCTCCTGCTCCCTCTCCTCCTTCTTCTCCTTCTTCTGCTGCTCCATCTCCTCCTTCATCTGCTGCTCCAGCTTCCTCTTTTTCTCCATCTTTTCCTCTTTAATGATCTTCTCCACTTTTCTTTTCCACAGTTTGAATTCTTTGTCTGAAATCTTCCTCCATCTTTCTGCCTTCTTGTCCTCCATTCTTCTTCCTGAAACGCTGAAGGAGAGAATGGACAAGATTTAGTTTAAAATAAAAGACTGAAGCTCCAAACTGTGTGATAGATAGATAGATAGATAGATAGATAGATAGATAGATAGATAGATATTCGAGGTATTCAAGGCTTTGAATGAGATCAGAATAAATGATTCATTTTGCTCATACGGATTTGAATCGACTCGGTTCGAGCTTCACTAAAAGTGCTGACCTGCAGTTCAGAGTCACTCACCTTCTCTCTCTCAGTGTCCGGCGACTCTGAATGTGAGCAAAATACTCTTTTTTAGAGGTCTCGATCACGGGGTGACGTCACACAGCGCCGGCCCCGCCCCTTCATTGTGACGTCACACGGCGCGCTCGCGTTCGGAAGGTCTAACCTCCTCCTTCAAAGGCCACACTTTGGTGACGTCAACAAAGGCACGAGGGCTTTAATTACTATTATTACTATTTTTATTTTTATAATTATTATTATTAGTAGTAGTAGTAGTAGTACTGGTAGTCGTAGAGTTACTCTTTTTTCCCTCAAATTAATTAAAAATAATTTTCTTAGGATATATTTCTCATGATAATTTTCTTGAGATAATTATGTTAAGATCATTTTCTCAGGATAAGTTAATCTTGAGAGAATTATTTCAAGATAATGGTCTCGACATGTATAAGCAGAAGTGTTTCACTGCATTACCCACTCCGCCCTGTAGATGGCACCAATACGCCATTCAGGCAGCATTCCACTCTCTAACGTCTCTCCAAGCCCAGTGTCCGTTTTTCAGGGCTGCTGGACGGTGTGTCTCCGTGATTGGAGCTATTCTAGTGGACACTGGCCGCTATATATCACTTTACTTTGAACTCGGTCCCAAATACAAAGACACTGTTTCAAAGTTTGTCAACAGACAATGTTAAATCACAGCAGACGGTTTCAGAGGAAGAGCAGCACAAAGAGATCTGAGGTGTTGATTTTCATTCAAGAGCAGCTGCAGCTTTCTGGACGTCTTACTGGCTGTAGGTGGACACATGCAAAGTGCTTAGAGAACAACCTGCATGTTAAAAAAGTCCAGAAAATGATCCCGGGAAAATGATCCCGAGATAATTAATTTGTGAAAAAAATCTCAGGTCATTAAACAGACAATAGTTTTTTTCCCATTATAAAGAAACCCATGTCATTCCCCCCCCATGCTCTTTTGGGGGCTCTTTAGATTGTGTTATTAGTTGTTCTCGTTTGTAATAAACGAGCTAATTTGCATATTTACAGATAATATAGATCACAAGAACAATGCAGCTTAAAGGTCAATTAATAAATACATGTATGATCACAAAAGAACTGCTGATAGATTCATTATCAGCGTTAATGGTGTATTTTTAGTGGATTTGTTTAATGAGTTTCAGCACTTCACGCCCCCTTGTGGTGAAAACCCAGAAATACAGGCAGTTCATTTCTACTTCTGTTTAATGTTACAGCACTTTTAACAGTTCAAACACATTATATTCGTTTGATCCATCCATCCAGTCTGACAAACGTGAGTGACGTTTACAGCTGAACCTAATTTAGCGTATTAGCACATACACTCCCTGGCCACTTTATCAGAAACCCCTCTCTTGTAGCTCCACTCTGCTGGTGTTCAGTTAGAGACTGTAGCTCATCTGTTCGTGCCCAGTCTGTGTTAGCCACGCTGTAGCCCTTCAGCAGTGGTCAGTTTCTGATCACAGAGCTGCTCTTAGCTGGATGTTTCTGACGGGGATTCTTTTCATTTTTACTGTGAAGCTAAATTGTTCATAGGCCTCGTTTAGCTACGGACGTCCAGAGAGGACATGAGGTAGTTATAATATCTGGGATCACAACTTAATTGTCTCGTGGTCTCAAGAAGACAACTTTTATTTTGGGATCACAAGAAAAATAAGTTGTGACCTCAAGAAAACAATTTTTGCTTTCTTTAGATCACGGTAAGAATATGTTATGACCTCAGGAAAACAACTTTTGTTATCTTGAGATCACTGGAAAAAATAAGTTGTGACCTTGAGAAAATAACTTTTGTTATCTTGAGATCACAAGAAAAAGAAGTTGTGATCTTTAGAAAACAATTTTTGTTATCTTGAGATCACTAGAAAAATGAATTGTGATCTTGAGAAAACAACTTTTGTTATCTTGAGATCACAGGAAACGCAAGTTTTGATCTTCAGAAAACAACTTTTGTTATCTGGAGATCGCACAAAACACAAGTTGCATTCTCAAGAGCACAAGACGATTAAGTCATGATTTTAAGATAACAGTCCAGACAATAATAACCACCTCATGGCTTCTCTGGACGTCTGTGTTTAGCGGAGACTTCACACAATCCAGTCCATTCATATCACAGGTGTTAACCTTCCTGGTCCCAAAGTCTCCAGCCTGTAAACGTGAGCAGAGGAATAAAGAAACGCTCCTCGGTTAGTCATGTTTTCATCGGTGGGTCTGTTTGTTTATTTGTTTGCTGAATCTGTGTCACTTCTCTGTTGACGTCATTGTTCCTGCTCTCTCTCTGCATTGCTCTCATTCCTCGGCTGTTGTCCTTGTGGGTGGAGCTCAGCAGGCCGAGCAGGAAAAGCCAAACTCCGACAACAGCAGACGAAATGAAACTGACTCACGGAGCCTCTGAGCTCCTATGATACGATCCCTCCTGAGATCCGCTCACAGCATTTCTAATGGAGCCCACCAACTTACAGGTAGGCTGACTCTGATCTGTTCTCCTGTTTCCTCTACAGCAGTTAAGACCACTTTCAGATTCTGTGTTTTATTATTCAGCCTGGTAATGACCACCAGACTGACCAGTGGTAACTCAGACATAAATCACAGTCTTCCAGTAAACTCTGTGTCAAGTCCAACTACAGGATAATCTGCTGCTTCTGATCCACACTGTGTTCATTAACGGCCCCTGATGAACTTTAACCTCAGAGTGTGTCAGTGAAGGCGTTTGAATGGCAGTGATTCGGTTTGTTTTGACTGTGTTTTGGTGGATCTGTTTGTTGGTGCTGGATTGTTTTGAAGGTGTGCTATGCTAATGCTGGACTGGCATCCTTCACTCCCTTTATACGGTGTGGTTTGTTTCTTATGTACTGTACAGTATTAATACTGATACAAATACTTCTACTACTAATAATAATTATAGTAATAAATCTATACGTACATACTATAGCATATTTTGTATTTTGTCTACAACCCCATCTCCAAAAAAGTTGGGACGCTGTGCAGAATGTAAATAAAAACAGGATGCAATGATTTGCAAATCATATAAACCATATTTTAAAAGGAAAACAGTACAAAGACAACACATCAAATGTTGAAACTGCGAAATTTTATTGTTTTTTGAAAAATATATGCCCATTTTGAATTTGATGCCAACAACATGTTCCAAAAAAGTTGGGACGGGGGCCTGTTTACCACTGAGTTTCATCACCTCTTCTTTTAACAGCACTCTGTAAGTGTTTGGGAACTGAGGAGACACTGCTGTAGTTTAGAAAGTGAAATGTTTTCCATGTTTGATACAGGATTTCAGCTGCTCATCAGTTCAGGGTCTCCTATGTCATATTTTTCATTTAATAATGTGCCACGTGTTTTCAGTGGTGATAGGTCTGGACTGCAGGCAGGTCAGTTTAGCACATTAACTCCTTTAATACAGAGCAATGCTGTTGTAATACATGCAGTAGTTTTACATTGTCTTGCTGAAATAAACAAGGCCTTCCCTGAAAAAGACGTCGTCTGGATGGCAGCATATGTTGCCAAAACATGTATATATCATTCAGCATTAATGGTGCCTTCACAGATGTGCAGGTCACCCATGCCATGTGCACTAATGCTCCCCAAACCATTACGGATGCTGACTTTTAAACTGTGCACTGATAACAAGCTGAGTGGTCTTTAGCCCAGGGGACACAGTGTCCATAATTTCCCAAAAAAATTTAAATTTTCCACTTCCACTCGGTCCATTTTAAAGGAGCTCGGGCCCAGAGAAGGTGGCAGCGTTTCCTGTTTATGTGCAGTTTCTTCTTTGCATTTTAGAGTTTTAACTTGCATTTGTGGATGCAGTGATGAACTGTGTTCACAGACAGTGGTTTTCAGAAGTGTTTCTGAGCCCATGCAGTGATTTCCACTACAGAATCATGTCTGTTTTTAATGCAGGGCTGTCTGAGGGCCCAAAGATCACAGCCAGTAAATACTGGTTTTTGGCCTTGTCCCTTACATACAGAGATTTCTCCAGCTTCTCTGAATCTTTTAATGATATTATGTACCGTAGATGATGGAAAGCAAGTTCTTTGCTCTTTTATGTTGAGAAATGTTGCTCTTGAATTTGATCATGGAGTCTTTCACAGAGTGGTGAACCCCTCCTCGTGTTTACTTCTGAAAGACTCCGCCTCTCTCTCTCACAACTTTACCAGCCTTTTGTTTCCCCGTCCCAACTTTTTTGGAAATGGGGTTGTATATAATTGATACAATTTTTACTGATAATGACAACATTATAATATATATATATATAACAATCTTATATGTTTTGACAGCATTATATATGTTCATTTATTAATATGTGGTCACTTATATCTGTCTATGTATTTGTCACACACCCAACTAAAATATGAATATCATTTCAAACACAGGACATCCAACAAAATTCTAGGAAATATGCCAAAAACTATGTATACACTAATGTTACACCATGTAACACTAAAAGTATGTACATGCTAATGTCATACAATTTGATGCTGGAAGTAAATATATGCAAATGTAACGTTACATTACACTATAAATATACAAATGCTAATGTTACACCATGTGATGCTGTACGTATGCATATGCTAAGGTTTTAGGGACACCATGTGAGACTATAAGTATGTATAAGCTGGGGTTGCACCATGGCGTGTTTATATGCTAATGTTACACCTTGTGATGCTGAAGTATGTACGTGTTAATGTTATGCTATGTGATGCTGTATGTGTGTGTATGTTACACCGTGTGATGCTGTATGTATATGCTAATGTTACACCAGGTGATGCTATAAGTACATATACACTAATGTTATACCATGTGATGCTATAAATATGTATATACTAAAGTTACACTATGTGATGTTATAAGTATACACACCGCTCAGGCATAGCATTCTGACCACCTCCTTGTTTCTGTGCTCATTGTCCATTTTATCAGCTCCACTTACTGTATAGGTGCACTTTGTAGTTCTACAGTTACAGACTGTAGTCCATCTGTTTCTCTGATACTTTGTTACCCTGTTCTTCAGTGGTCAGGACCCCCATGGACCCTCACAGAGCAGGTACCATTTGGGTGGTGGATCATTCTCAGCACTGCAGTAACACTGACGTGGTGGTGGTGTGTTAGTGTGTGTTGTGCTGGTGCGAGTGGATCAGACACAGCAGTGCTGCTGGAGTTTTTAAACACTGTGTCCACTCTCTGTCCACTCTATTAGACACTCTTACCTTGTCAGTCCACCTTGTAGATGTAAAGTCAGAGACGATAGCTCATCTGCTGCTGCACCGTTTGTGTTGGTCATCCTCTAGTCCTTCATCAGTGGTCACAGGACGCTGCCCACAGGACGCTGTTGGCTGGATATTTTTGGTTGGTGGACTATTCTCAGTCCAGCAGTGACACTGAGGTGTTTAAAAACTCCAGCAGCACTGCTGTGTCTGATCCACTCAGACCAGCACAACACACACTAACACACCACCACCACGTCAGTGTCACTGCAGTGCTGAGAATGATCCACCACCCAAATAGTACCTGCTCTGTTATGCCTGATTGGTGTGTATGCTAATGTTACACCATGTGATATATAACAATGTTGCCATAAAGACGTATATATTTTAAAATACTACATATTCTTCACAGTGTACCATACAGATCCAGTGTTCTCCTCTTACCTGCTTCCATTGCTCATTTCTGTTTCAGAAAGCCATAGCGATAGCTAACAAAGCTTCACAAGAGGATCAAGCCGGAAATTATGAGGAGGCCATCAAATCATATCAACATGCAGTCAAGTATTTTCTGCATATAATAAAGCGTGAGTGTTCTTTTAAGGCCGAGTTAAAAATTAGCCAGAGGATAAAATTAGGCACACGTGTTCCGGCTGTGTTTCAATTCTCATTTGTGTGTGTTCAGGTGAGCCGCAGGGAAAAGAAGGCAATCAGAAGATCAGAGACAAGTGTGTCCAGTACCTGGACCGGGCCGAGGAGCTTCAGGATTATCTGGATAAAAAACAGGTCACTAGAGGTCACTAGTTCAACAGCTTCAACCTCTGTGGTATTTATTGTATTGTATTACGTCAGTCGTTCATCACATGAAGATTAGTCATCACGCAGGACTAAGGAGAGACCCGAGAGCAGGGAGCTTCACAAACACAGATCTTAAAATCAGCTGAGACCTCAGCGCGCTGGTTTAATGGAAGTGAAGGCCATTCAACTTGATCTGATGAACATTAGTGAAGATTTAGGACATATACTCCTAGCTCCCTATATTCCCAGGGCTGTATATTCATAGGGCTATGTATTCCCAGCCCCTACATTTCCAGGGCTCCACATTCCCAAAGCCTTATATTCCCAGGGTTCCATGTTTCCAAGGCCCTATATTTCCAGGGTGCTATATTCCTAGGACCCTATATTCCCAATGCCCTGTAGTTTTCCAGGCCCTGTATTCCCAGGGTCCCATATTCCCAGGGCCATATGTTTCCAGGGACATATGCTCCTAGCTCCCTATATTCCAGGGGTTCTATGTTCCCAGTGTCTTGTATTCCCAGGGCTGTATATTCATAGGGCTATATATTCCCAGGCCCTGTATTCCCAGGGCCCTATATATCCAAGGGCCTCATATTCCCAAGGTCCTATTAGGGTGCCATATCCCTGGGACCCTATATTTCCAAGGCCCTACATTCCCAGGGTGCTATATTCCCAAGGCCCTATATTCCTGGGACGCTATGTTCTGTGGGCCCTATGTTCACAGGGCACTATATTCTTGGGACCCTATATTCCCAAGGCCCTGTAATGGGCTCAATATTACCAGAATTCTATATTTCCAGGGCCCCATATTACCAAGGCCTACAATCATAGGGCCCTATATTCCCAAGGCTCTATATTCCCAGTACAATATACTCCTGGAACCCTATGTTCTCTAGGGCCCTACATTCCCAAGGCCTACACTCACAGCGCACTATATTCCCAGGGCTTTATCATCCTTGGGCCCTGTGTTCCCAGGGCTCTATATTCCCAATGTTTTCACATAATATTTTGAAGCTTTGGCTCATATAACACTTAAAAATCATGTTTTTTGAGGGGGTTGTTTTGGTTTTTGAACATGTGCATCTTTCCACACTGACGGAGAGCTTTTCCTGCATGCGGCTTTACCAACAACGTGGTAGATTCTGTACTTATTGAAGTTGGGCTTCACCTGAATACTATATATAATGTTATACCCACTCAGCTACATTTGGGGTGAGGGGAAACTGTGAGAATTAGATTTTTCACCGTTTTGTTACTTGATGAAGTGAGATTGGTGGAAAAGTGCAATCCCACATCAATGTGTCTCTCGGTTTGTCTGCGTTGTCAGTTGTATCGTGGCTGCGGTGAAGGTAAGTTCAAACTCATCTTATTCTCATTCAGCACTAACATTAGCAAGGCAGCTCCATGTCTTTGGCCTTAAAGTAGGAAAGCTGATTCCAGATCATAATATGCTGCACTGATGATCTCACACAGTGTTAAAGGGCCCCTATCTTTACAGCTTTTCCCCTTATGTCCACTTTTGAAATCTGTTTGGTTTAATGTACCAAAAGCAGTAATAAAACTAATGTTTATCATTTGTATTTGACCATTTTCAAACATCTCTTCATCCTTTAGAATTAAACAGGCTGTTTTTGTTACTGATATATGTAAATGAGCTCTGTTCTGACTGGCTACCCTGTATCACGACTCATTCAAAAAGCAGTCCGGGTGGAAACTCTCCTTATAACTTCAGCACGAGTGGGTGGGGCTAAACTGCTGTAGGCTGAATAGGTGGCTATATGTAAATGGGTTGTTTTTTTGTGACATCACAAAAACAATGATTTAAAAACAGGCTGTTTCAGCTTAGTTTCCATATACGGATGGTATGTTTTGTCACTTTAGTGTTTATATACTACATCAAACTCTATTATTTTAATAAAGACATTTATTATTTGTCTGTATTAAAATAATAGACTTTAATGTTTAAATAAACTCTATTATTTAAACAAAATTATTATTTTTTGGAGTGGAGAAGTTTTGCCGCATTTTAATTTGGACTACAGTTCATTTCTAGAAATAAATTTAGAGGCTTTTCTTCCTTAAAAACAGCAAAATAAATAAATCTAATATAATGTATTTGTAGTTCGAGGGGATTTGAAAGCGTCATTACATCGAAACACATCCTTTAGCCCACATGTGATGTAACGCAATTCAGCTTCGGGTGTGTCTTGTGTAATTCTTTGCATGTTACCTGTAGACAGGGTTGCCAGATGTCTTAAAAATCCTCTCACTGGAGCAAATGGAATACCAGACATACTGATAAACATCTTTACGTTTGTCCGTGCCCGAAATGCTGTACATTCATATGCACTGAGGTTCACCCCACAGCAATCTCGAACCTGCTGTGGGCCCTAAAGAGAAGGCCAGGATCCTATCAAGGTTTTTTGACCAGCACATATATATAAGACAATGCTTCTGTATAGAACCATTTCATGCTTAAATGGTTCTTTGCATAGTGAAAGCGTTCTTCAGATTGATGGAGAGTGTGCTGTATATGGTTCTAAATAGAACCCTTTTGAAAATGGCTCGATGTAGCAGCAAAAAGTGTTCTGCTATTGAAATGATATCAAGCCTGTAACAGTAGCAGAACCCTTTTTGCTGCTATATAGCACCTTTTTAAAAAATGTTCTCAATAGAACCTTGTATAGCACATCCTCCATCAATCTGAAGAACCATTTCACCATGCAAAGAACCCTTTAATCATGCAAAAGGTTCTTTGAGCGTTCATGGTTCTGTATAGTTGCGTTCCTTACTAAAGAACCTTTTAAGAACCGTCTTTTTAGAAGTGTAACATTAGAAGAACACTTTTTGGTGCTCGATAGAACCATTTTCAAATAGGTTCTACAGAGAACCCTATGAAACACATTCACCATCATTTCACCATGAGGACTAATCCACTGAGTGTGTTTACATGCACTTCATTTTTTTGTGTTTGGAATATTATGGGATCAAACTTTGTCTGCTGAGATGTTTTGTCCAAACCAAATATTTTGAATAAATGTTGAGACAGTACGAAAAAAAAGCAGCTTAAACTTAAGTCAACAAATGCAAAAAAAATAACAGATTATTCTTCTGTTGGCTTAAGTTGAATGATCAGAAAATAACCCGGTTACTTTACGTTTAAAAGCTGCACAATTGTTTACAATGTAGACTCGAAATCAGCCGTTATGGGTCATTTCGTTTCGCCAACATGGCAACCCGGCCTGGAGTCATCCAACGTGACGTCACGAGTTCCGAGGCGGAAGTGACATTCGACATTTTAGTCACGGAAGTTTTTGTCTCCTCCATTATCCTGGGAAAGTGGAGTTCAGTAAGACGGGAATCCTCCCTGTTTTCCCCTCCTTTCTCCGTGTCCGTGGAAGCGGGTGGTGGCGGGGTGACTGAAGCCGTCGGTTTGGAGAAAACGCCTCGGTTTTTTGTGAGATATTGAGGTTTTATTGAGGGATCAGCCCTGATGGCTGCCAACAACAACAACCTGCAGGTAAGAAGAAGTTCGGAAACAGGACGGAAAGCTCGCCTTATCAGCGCCGAAAACACGGAATTCAGCCTTCATATCTGAGTTAAATCCACGTTTATCTCTGCTCAACGGAGTTTGAGCCTCCAGTCTCGGTCTCTGTGGCTCCGCCGCTCAGCTATACTTACTGCCGCTTCACTGTCACTGCTCGGTGTAACGTAATTAAAGGAGAACTCCACCCATTTTTCCAAATTTCACGCATAATTCAGTGTTTCAGATGTAAACAGAGTCATTCAGAGTGGTTTGGTGCGAGATGGTTGATTGTAGAGACTGATGTCTTTTCAGTGGTGGTGATAGGAACCAGGGGTCGCCATGACTACAACACAGATATAGACATTTTATTTACTATCCAGAACCACCAGTGAACCTACACGAGTCTTCTGAGTTTATATGGAATGTTGATGATGGTGAAATAGTGGAAAATCTGAAATAATAAGTTTTCTTTGGGGACTATTTTTCCGTCATGTATCCTTCCACCAAGAATAGATTGATTAAAAAAATATATTTTAGGCCAAAAAGTTATCGCAGAACTATCATAAAACAACATCTCAGGCATCAGGCAGGGTATTTGTAACCGTTTCATCATGTGGTAACTTTCTGTGAGGGAGCTTTTAGAGGTGGACGTCTGGTTCCTATCACCACCACTGTGAACAGTTCTTACTCTGTAGGTTTATCTAGAACGGAGCATTTCACACCAAACCACTCTGAACCACTCTGTTTAGATCTAAACTGTATAATTATGTAGAACTTTTTGAAAAATGGGTGGAGTTTCCCTCTAACTTACCGCCCAAGTACGGTTAGTTTTAAAGGCTTAAAGCTCAGAAGATGCTTTTTAGTGTTGAATCTTTTTAGGCTTCAGAGTAAAAAGTGGTTATTATTTTTAACAGGACTTTAGCAGCAGCTGTGATGGCCAAGATGACTGAGAGGAACTTTGAATAAATATAAAAATAATTTTGGCTTATTTCAGTATAAAAATAGACATAATACTCATGATAACGATTAAAAAATCGTAAAGATTCTTTAGTAAAGACAACTGTAGAACCAGTTCATGCTTAAATGGTTCTTTGCATAGTGAAAGGGTTCTTCAGATTGATGGAGGGTGTGCTGTATATGGTTCTAAATAGAACCCTTTTGAAAATGGTTTGATGTAGCACCAAAAGGGGCCCTGTAACAGTAGCAGAACCCTTTTTGCTGCTATATAGCACCTTTTTGAAAAATGTTCTCAATAGAACCTTGTACAGTACGTTCTCTATCAATCTGAAGAACCGTTTCACCATGCAGAGAACCCTCTGATCATGCAAAAGGTTTTTTGAGTGTTCATGGTTTTGCATAGTGGCGTTTTCCTTACTAAAGAACCTTTTAAGAACTGTCTTTTTAAGAGTGTAACATTAGAAGAACACTTTTTGGTGCTCTGTAGAACCATTTTCAAAAACAATTGTGAACTGTTTCACCATGCAAAGAACCGTTTAATCATGAAATAGTTCTGTAGAGAATAGAACGTGCTGTGTATGGTTCCGTATAGAACCTTTTCTAAATTGGTTCTGTATAGCATCAAAGACGGTTAAAAGCTTGACAAGATACAAGAGCCCTTTTTGGTGCTTTATAGAGCCATTTTCAGAAAGGTTCTACGTAGAACCATATAAAACACATTCACCATCATTTCACCATGTAGAGGACTAATTAAGAACCATTGAGTGGTTTTACATGCAGTTAATAATCCGATAACTGCAGAAAATCAGATTCTGTCAGTAATCCGATCAACACGTTTACATGCACTTGCGTAATCAGATAATGGGGAAACTCCAAGTCTACATGAGTCAGACAGTAATCAGATTTCTGCTTTACAACCAGCCAGTAAACTGGTTGAAGACGAGACGTAAACAAAACACAAAACTCAAACTTCATACTGTGGCTTTTTTTTTTTTTAAACTTTGAGCCACTTTACCTGGAAATATGAACAAACATCATCTAGAAGATGAAGAATATTTAAATCCTTCTCTTCGTCAAGCATGAATTTGGCCTCAGCGTCGCCCCAAAAGTGTTTTGCTGCGTCTCGCAGCGACGCTGCTCACTTATTTCTGGTACCGCCGTCTGTTTTCACACATGCTCAGACTGAGAAATCCGAAAGAAATCAGAGTAAGAGTTCACAGCACTGAGAAATCTGATTACTGAGCTACAATCCAGCCTCTTTATCAGATTTCTTGATCAGATTTCTAGACTCTGATCTAAGAAATCTGAGGGTGCTGTTTACACCTTTTGACTAATCAGATAACTGCAGAAATCCGATTATGATCGGATTATTGGGTGCATGTAAACTCACTCATTATTGATTAGAAGCCTCCTGGTCCAGCAGGTTCAGATCTCTGAGATAATATCATAGAAGGCTGCAATATGCAAATGAGCTCTAACCAGTCACACTGTTCTGACTGTGTGCTGTGTGCATCCTGACCAATCACAGCTCCAAATTAGTTTGTCTGAGCTGAGGTTTCATATAAACCAACCACAGTCTATTATTTTGGCCACTAAATGAATCAAGCCAGTCTGTAACCAAAGTTCACTGACGTATTCCTAATGTATTGGTAGATTCGCTGCAGTGTGCAGTGATTTAATAGCAGTGCAGATATATTTTGTCCATGTTGTGCTGGTCTTCACTGATATCCACACCCAGTGTAGCACGTGTGGGAAGTAAAAGCCTCCAGAAGCTCACAGGGGAGGTTTAAAGGGTTATGGAACTGAAACCGGTTGCAGATGTTTTAGCATGTTTGATAGTTCCTATTGTTATTTTCTTCTGGGCTGTTGTTAAATCTTCATTTTTAAAGTCAAAAGGACGCTCAGGTTTATGCTAATTTCTGCACAGTACAGGGTAATATCGATAATTCTGCATGATGATTTATTTTCTACGATATTAGATGATGTGTAATTAGCATTAACAAGGTGAATGAACCCATTCGTTTTTCACAAACACTGTATCACTCTGCTGAGATGCGGTTGCTAAGCAACGACTTTGACAGCTGTAGGAGACGCTCAAGACATTTGAATATTTCAACTTGACTTTTAAGATCACATTTGACCGACAGCCGATTTGGTCAGATTCTGAAGATGAGACGACACTAAATTCCCAAACTGTCATCACCACTGAGCAGCTTTTCAGTCGGCAGCTGAGACAGAAGAACAGCTAAACAACCTGGAATCAGCCAGAAATGAACCCAACACCATTCGCCAAACTAAATGGGCTGTAAGATGCTTTACAGACTGGCTGGAACAAAACAACATTAATACTGATCTGGCAAAAACTAACAAAACTGAGCTGAACTTGATATTGTGGCAGTTTTATGGCTCAGTCTGTGCTTCAAAAGGCGAGGCTTACAGCAGACTGAGCAGCGAGTGGGCGGAGCTCGTTACTCTGTTATTTCGCGATAACACTCTCCCTCTCGTTTCTGTTGCTTAATTAACTCACAGTTTTTTGTTTAGTTTTTATTATTTTGAACTGTTCTTTCAAAACAGTATCAACAGCTGGGAAGGAAGCTAATTAGCCACTTCAGGTTCAAACCAGTAGTTGCATACAGTGAACAAGAGACAAGCTGTTAAATCATAATTATTTATAGGGATTTATATCTATATATATATATATTGGAGGGCAGAACAAGGAATGAATCTGATCCAATCCTGTAACAAACCTGCTATGAAACGGCGCCACTCACATTTGTTAACTGTGTATTGTGTCCTGTGGGGTAAAACTGCAGCCTTGGGCTGATAATTGATAGAAAATATTTTGTGACAGTTTTAATTTAATGTCAATATTGTGTCTGTAATTGTTGTTTATTGTTTCATCTTTATTTAAACGTTCCTGTTGCACAATCCTTGTAGTCTATAGTTAATTATAATAGACTCTACCTCATTATAAGCTTTACGAACAGAACATTAACTATTTAACTACACATATACATATATTAAACGCCTCTTAGAAGATATTATAATGTATATTTTCAGTCTGGCATTGAATGCTGGGTAATATGCAAATGAAACAAAGACACTATGTGAGATCTGCTCTCTGGTAGAGGGAAATGGATGAGCTTGGTTTCCATAAATGGACTGAATGGACTGCACACTTAAAAATGATGGTTCTTTAAAGGTTCTTTAGTAAGGAGAATGGTTCTTTAGAGCACCCAAAAAGTTATGTTGACATCATAACAATAGAAGAACACTTTTTAGTGCTAGATACACTGAAAGGGTTCTTTAGCTGAGAAAATGGTTCTATATAGAGCCATGAACACTCAAAGATTCTTTGCATCATGAAAGGGTTCTTCAGATCGATGGCAAACGTGCTAAATATGCTATATGGAACCTTTTTGAAAGCGGTTCTATATAGTACCAAAAAGGGTGCTTCTGTTCTGATGTCAAACTTGTAACAATAGAAGAAGCCTTTTTGGTGCTATATGGAACCGTTTTCACCTTTATGGGCAAAAAAAAAAAAATTAATAACAAATCTCGTTTTGTTGCCACGTTTACATCCAGCCTGATGATCCATCAGTAATCCGACTAACAGCTCGATCGGAATGGAACACGTCCATGTATACACCTCAGTCGGAGTAGACTAGTCCGATTGAGGCCATTCGGAATACTGGACTCACGTGATGCTGGTTGTCATGGTAACGTCTACACTATGCGGTTCTCTACGCGTGTGCGTCATTTTGGATCTGATTACTTGTAGTGAGCATGTAATCAGAGATTTTGATCAGATTGTTGAGTAGAGTGAGAATAAACACCTCAGTCTTAATCTGTAATCTGAATGAATTAAGTCGGATTGGTGAAAATCCCTGCATGTAAACACAGACAGTGACAGAAGTTGCTGGTCAAACCTGAAGCTGAGGAATTCCCTCCTGCCTGTTCTGACCCCTCTGTTGACTTTGTTTCTGCTGTTGTGATTACAGAAAGCTATAGATCTTGCCAGTAAGGCGGCTCAGGAGGACAAGGCCCAGAATTATGAGGAGGCCCTGCGACTCTATCAGCACGCAGTCCAGTACTTCCTACACGTGGTCAAATGTGAGTACACGCTGTCCGCCTGATGGCCTGTCTGGACCGGCGCATTTTCTATTGCTGTAGTCGGAAAAAGACATTAAATAACTAGTTTGGCCAAAAATCTGAGATCTGAAGTTTGCTTCTTTAGTTTTGCACTGGAGTTACATGGCTAATGTAGCTAACGATATTAAAAAGATGGTTCTTCAAGGGTTCTTTAGTAAAGAGAGTGGTTCTATATACAACTATTAACACTCAGAACCATTTGCATGCGTATAGATTTCTTTGGATGGTGAAAAGGTTCTTCAGAGTGTGTATATGCTTCTATATAGCACCAAAAGGGTGTCTACTGTCACAAGCTTGACATTGTCACATTAGCAGAACCCTTTTAGGTGCTATATCGAGCCGTTTTCAAAAGGTTTCTATTATAGAACCGTATACAACACATTCTCAGTCAAACTGAAGAACAGTTTCACCATGCAAAGAACGACTTCAGCCTGCAGATTTCAGATACCAAACACGTCTTGGCTGATTGAACACGTTTGGGGTACGAGGGGAAATTGTGTGATTTATATTTTTTGTTTGAATGTGTGTAAATTTGATTGCCAAACTGTTCATTTAAATGGGAGTTTCAGGGTCAGGTTTGTTCAGTGGTGGTCATAGGAACCAGACGTCCAGCTTTAAAAGCTCCCTCACAGAAAGTTACTACATTAATCGGTTATGAATCAGGTGAGGTGTTGGCCTGAAATTTAATTTAAACTCCATTCATGGTGGAGGGATACATGCAGGGTGCTGTGAGGCAAAATAGTCCCCAAAGAAAACTTATAATTTCAGATTTTCCACTATTTTCCATCATCAACATTCCGTATAAACTCAGAAGACTCGTGTAGGTTCACTGGTGGTTCTGGATAGTAAATAAAATCTATATTTGTCTATATTTGTGTTGTAGTCATGGCGACCCCTGGTTCCTATCACCACCACTGTAAAGACATCTGAACCATTTCACACCAAACCACTCTGAATCACTGTGATTACATCTTATCTACTAAATTATGGAGAGTTTTTTTATTTTTAAAGGAGGGGTCATCAGTCTTTCCACAAAGGGCCAGTGTGGCTGCAGAGTCTCATTCCAGCCAAGCAGGAGCAACAGAGCTAATCAGATGCTTACAGACGGAGAGCAACTGATTAAACAAGCGGAATCATGCGCTTCTGCTTGATTGGAACGAGAATCTGCAGCCACACCACATACTGGTGAGCCCTGGCTTAAACTGACCGCCGCTGTTATGATTGGCCCTCAGATGAAGCTCAGGGGGACAAAGCCAAACAGAGCATCAGAGCCAAATGTGCGGAGTACCTGGACCGGGCGGAGAAGCTGAAGGAGTACCTGAAGAAGAAAGAGAAAGCCCCCGCTAAACCCGTGAAGGAGTCCCAGTCCGATGAGAAAGGGTGCGTATTTATACGCACTGCAAACTGAAGTGTAGTCGATACATTTAAGATTTGTCAAAAGGTTGTCGTAGGAGGATTTTAAATCATTTTGAATTGAGAAATTCCTATTTTATTGGCAGATACTTTGCTTATTTTATAGGAGACGTAATCCAGATTTGAATAATAATGTTTTTAAATCAAGCACAATTATCTGCCAATGGAAAAAGGCAGTTTTACTAGACAAAATGATTCAAAAGAAGTTAAAAAAGAAAAAAGAAGTGTATATCGCTACTGTCGGAACAAAACCTCGTATCTCCAAAATGGTAACTTTACAGGAGAAGGAAAAACATGCTTTACTTTTAATGTGAGTCAATGGAACCAGATTTTTTTCCAAGTAATTTTGGGTCGTTTCTTTTGGTCCATTCATCATGAAACTTACACACAATGTAAAGAGCAACAGGCATTTTCAAATTATGTCAAAAACTGAGGAACGATAAAACTGGAGATGTGAGGTTTTGACAGCAGCGATATGCAAATTACACGTTTTCTGAGTGTGAATAAGTGAACACGTCCTCTACAGAGAACACAGTTCTGCACATTTTTTAATGAACTATTACTGTTCATTTGCTGAGCTTAGCATATTGAAAAATAAATAACACGTAAAAAATGTGAAGTTTGCAGAAAAATGCCATATTTATGTTTGTATTTTCACTTCAGAAAATCAACAATATGAGAGTAATATTAGTTATGTCAGGGGTGTCCAAAGTCCGGCCCCGGAGCCAAATGCGGCCCACGGACAGACTTTAATTGGCCCCCGGCTTCTGTTTTACAGTGTGTTGTAAGTGGCCTGCAAGCTAGTACAGTGCAGTTCTCCCTTTTCACCTGATGGAGGCAGCTGACCAGACCTGCAGCTTTATTTAGTGAACTACATTTTGTCACAACTACAGACATAAAGCTCAAACTAAACACTGAACACTGGCGATTTTGGCGAGATGGAGAACTTCTTATCAGAGCAAATTCAGTAAATATTAACCCTTTAAGGTCGAACAAAAACACAGCTACGCTGCGTTTATTTGATATGTAAAGAACATTGCATTTTTGGTTTTGTTAGGTAAAGATTTTTGTTTAGTTTCTCTCACAAATCATATTTTTCAACAAATAAAAATCATTTTAATAGTAATATGATTATGATTAATACATCAGACATCTTGTACTGTTACTCTTAATTTAATTATTTATTATAACTAGAGGTGGGTAATCCAGGTCCAAAAAGTAAAAAACCCTCCCCAGGATTTTGTTCCAACTGCCTGAACACCTTTGCTGCTGGTTTGAGCAAATTAGAGAAGTCAAGCAGTTGGAACAAAATCCTGGGGAGGGTTTTTTATGTTTTGGACCTGGATTACCCACCTCTAGTTATAAGCGCTTATCAAAACTGTTCTGAACGAACAGTCCAGCAATCAAAGAAGCCTCGTGCATCTTTTATACAGTGATAGGAAACACAGCAGCTCACAGAAAGCTCAGTTTCTATACGCTGATGTTTTATAAACTTAATATCTTAAATCATTTGTGAATAATACGTCAGCCCTCAGGTATTTAAACACGGCACAATCTGGCCCTCTTTGAAAGACGTTTGGACACCCCTGAGTTATGTAAACTAGATTTAGAATGACTCGCCGAGTTATGTGCCTGTTAATGGTAACGCAAACCAGGCTGTTACGGTGCTGTTTTTATAGTTTAGTAGGTTGATTCCACATTTCAGAACTATCCATGGTTCTGTTACCCTTTATTAAATTAAAATATGTCCACACTTGTGGTTTTTCATTGCAGTAATGACAGTGATGAAGGAGAAGACCCAGAGAAGAAGAAGTTCCAGAACCAGCTCTCAGGTTGGTTCCTCATCATATCGTATTATTCTCATGTATTATTATATTACGTATCATCATATTCTCCTTTATGAAGATTCTAGCGCTCATCTCTCATTTTGTTTGGGGAAAAGTTTGGTTAATACAAGTCTAACCAAATGCAAGACGTGCACGGTGGAATCCACAGAGCTTGAATGTGTGATTAATGGAGGGTTTTGCTCTTAGGGGCCATCGTCATAGAGAAGCCTAACATTCAGTGGAACGATGTGGCGGGACTAGAGGGAGCCAAAGAGGCTCTGAAGGAAGCTGTTATCTTACCCATCAAATTCCCACACCTTTTCACAGGTAAGCGCTTTCTCTCCGGCATCGTGTGACACTGAACAGTTTTTGGTGACATACAAAGGAATGGAGATGTTGCTAAATGTTTCAGTGGCTCAGTTTAACAGAGAATAAAGAAAATATTCATAACCAGAAGATGAAAGAACTTAAATGGGCATTCTGGCCTAAAACTAGAGTTTGGTTTTAGGATTTTGTGCGTTCTTGACTATCAGTACTAGGGGTGCGGGAAAAACACGATTCTTAGATGCGTCGCGATGTGGATGTGAACGATTCTGAGTCGATTCATAAATGTCAAAAATCGTTTTTCTAAAAAATTTAATTTATAACGTAATGTTGACGAAACGCAAAAGGCGGAACTTGGAAGTGGGTAAGTGCAGCGCCCGGACAGTCTGTGGCGGCACATAACAAAAACACAACTGGATGAGTGAGAAATCCGACCGGCTCCCTCTGCATTAAAGCCAGGTTAGGTCAGGAGTCACAACACAAATGATAAGAAGAGCCATTTTGTCCTTTCAACAAAGTCAAACCACCTTAGGAGCCACAACATTTAATGTCCAGTATGTCTTAATGTGCTAGTATAGACTAAACAATATAAACGAGAGCGCAGATTTACTTCGCTCTGCTTTAAGCTTTAGCTACAGCCGCTTTCCTCCCATCTCCGCCAGAAAACTTTTCCTCAAAAGTAGAAGAGTTTCTTGTAAAATGTCTCGGCGTCCGGCTGTTTTACGAGGCTGAAGTCGCTTCTCACTCGCCAGTTTCTCGTTCTAATTTTCCCGTTCCACCTTAAATTCTGACTGAGGTGCCGAATGTAACTGCTGCACCATTTAAGGTGGAACAGGAAGCGAGTTCATTTTCGCAATTTTTTAGACAAAGACAGTCTCTCATTGCAGATTTAACCAACCGCGCTGCTTATAAATGCGAATAAGTCTCCAAATGTTCATATTAATCCCTGTTTTTTCGTTCACTACTGGTGAGGCCAGACCTCGGGGCTATGTGACCTGCTGTTCCACCCCCCTCACCCCACCCCCCCTCTGTACAACGAGACCAAAACCGAAGTTATAAGATCACTAAAGAAAACGGGAAGGACGGCTGTAACGCGCTGTGTGGACACCCATCACCACTGGATCTTATTTCAGGGCAACAGCGCATTTTATCGCAGATGAGTGGCAGCAGCGTCTCTGAATGAGAGCCTCCTAGTTCACTTGCCACATCACTTCCATTTGATTTATTAATAAAAGATATTTTAGATATTTAAAGCAAAGTATTTGTAATGATCCATAATACATTTACATTATGGATCATTACAAATACTTTGCTTTAAAACTACCAAGTTTTTAGACAGTAGGAAGATAGAAATCCTGTACAGAGAAAAAAGATGCATCGAGATGCATCGATAATCGTTTTATAATCGCATCGCAGCCTCTGAATCGTAATCGAATCGTGAGGTGCCTGAAGATTCCCACCCCTAATCAGTACATATTACACAATCTGAGACTAATATTAACTAATGTTAATTAGCATCGTCTGAGGTTGTGGTAACTTGCTGTAGTAGTTGAAATGATGGTTTAATTTAATCTCACTAACCTGATCAGGTTTAATATCATTTTTCCTCAGTTCTTTCAGCCATAGAGCAATGGCTAGAGGCGTCAGTGGCACTATAGTAGGTTTGATTGTGAGGATATGCTGCCTAGAAACACACTGCTTGTCATAAATTGTGCTCTTTACCTTCGTTTCAATCCTATAACACAGCGTTCAGTTGTCACATATGTGGAGAGTTTCAAAATCTGTAATAGATGTGATATTTAGATATAGGATAAAATAAATCATGAGCCTTAATGCTGTTCCAAATAGTAATAAATAAACATTTAAAAACCAGAATGTTTTTTAGTCATTTATCCCTTCACTATAAATCCCCCTGGGACTAATTGTGCATAGCTGGACCTGCTAAATGATTGTAAATATACTGTATTATGTCATACAGACCAACCAGCAAAACTGTTGCATGTTTAGGTTGGGATTCTTCAGATTAGATCTTTACATTTTTGCATATTTCCAAAAACCTCTTTCCGGGTTGCATGACTTCAGGTACTCAGAGAAGGTCCTGTTCAATTTATGGTGTCACCCAGTCCTGACTGCTAGCCCAGCCACTAATTTTTAGATACAAAATCCTAAAGGAGACAGTGATTCTGTCTTTAACCACCACAAAATGGACACCAGAGAGAAGTTTTTTACTCTTTCCGCCAGAGAATGAAGCTAAACTGAGGTTAGGTACCTATAGGTAGCTACCTCGCTATCTGATGACCTCCGATTATAGATTAAGACTGAGGTGTTTATCTCACTGTACTCAACAATCTGATGAAAATCTCTGTTTACATGTTCACCACAAGTAATCAGATCCAAAATTACGCACGTGTAGAGAACCGCTTAGTGTAGATGTTACCATGACAACCAGCATCACATGAGTCCAGTCAGAGTGAGATGAGCAGCAGTGAGCAGCGCTTGTGTTTTAATGACTTTAAAATGATGTCAGACTCAGGAAAACGTCCTTCACACGTCCTTATTAAAGAAGGCCGAGAGGAAGACGTCGTGTTCTGAGACACATAAGCTGGACGTCCGTCCCACCGCCGTCTTTTAAAGATCAGAGCATAAACTTCGTCTCCTCTGCAGACCAGTTTCTGCTCCGCCATGTTGAACGGTATAAACTCTCACTGTGACGTGACGAACATGATCAGAACGGACTTAAACTTAAATGTTACTTAAACAGTTCCATTCTGGCGCCTCAGGCACCATTTAAGGTGGAACGGGTAAATTCGAACATGAATCTGGCGAATGAGAAGCGACTTCAGCCTCGTCAAAAGCCAAATGTTGAGAGACGTTTTACAAGAAACTGTTCCACTTTTGCGAACAGCTTTCCTGCCAGAGATGCGAGAAAAGCAACTATAGCTGAGCTAAAGCTTAAAGCAGAGCAAAGTGAGTTTGCGTTTTCATTTATATTATATTTTTAGCCTGTACTAGTAAATTAGCACATACTGAGACATATTTACAGCCAAGATGGTGAAACGTTATTTCAGTAAAATGGACATAAAATGTAGATTTTTTGTTAAAACTTGACAAAATGGCTCTTCTTAACATTTGGGTTGCGACTCCTGTGCTAAGATATATGTTCCTGCAGTGTATGAACATGTAATGTGGTAGTTAGTTAGTAGTTAGCTTAGCAGGGTATCCAGCCTTTTTAATAGTGTCCTTCGAAGTGTCCGGTTCAGGTCTGGGCGCTGTCTGTAATGTAGCCTGTGATGACCCACCTGCCTCTTTCTGTTCAGGTAAAAGGACTCCATGGAGGGGGATTCTGCTCTTCGGACCTCCAGGCACAGGAAAGTCTTACCTGGCCAAAGCCGTGGCCACCGAGGCCAACAACTCCACCTTCTTCTCCATCTCCTCCTCAGACCTGGTGTCCAAGTGGCTGGGAGAAAGTGAGAAGTGAGTCATTCCAGCTTTTCCTCCAGAGTTTCTCTCTTAACCACACAGCAGTGGCGCTCCGTTATAGCAGTGGCCCAGCGCCAGCCTCGACTGGCTGTTCATCTTGGATTTTCAAGCCGTTCACTGCAAAAAAATAAATAAATAAATAAAATAATAATAATAGTGAAGATGTCTTAAATCGAGTCAGCTTATCTAATATTTTTGTATCGTGAGATTAGAGTAAGAATATTACAAGATTATTTAACTTAATTCTCTACATTTTTACTTGTTTTAAGTAACTGTTTTATGAAAATGCCTAATTCCATTTCTAGGTAACTGCCTGTTTTAAGGCATCAGGTTTCTAAATAATGCCTAAATGATCTGCAGTACTTCTCAAAACAAGTCAAATGATCTGTCAGTCGAAAAAGACTTTTTTAGTAGATAAAATTACTCAAAACAAGCGAAAATGAGAAACATTAGATATGTTGACTACATTTAAGATGTTTGCACTTGCTGAGAGAGAATTCTTTGCAGTGCTGTTTAAAGTATGCGATTAAATGATGTATCAAGGATCAGATATTAGTACGTTTAGTGTCTGACGTTTGCTTCTTTAGTCCTGCGCCGGAACTACCAGGCTAAGGTTGCCAACAAGAAATAGAAGCTTGTTCTGCACCAATCAGCGTCGTGATAACTGCCTCAAACCAGGCCAAGTAATTAAGTAATCTTAAATGACTTTCCTGTATATAAAACTGGACACAAGTGCAAAGATGTTCCTGTTGATTTAAGACTCATTTAAAACTCTTACTTGATTTAGAACTGTTTATCCAAATATCTGTGTGCTGGTTTAAACCCCACACTGCCCTCAGCTCAGCTCAGCTCGCATTATCTTTAGTTATTGTGGAATCAAAAGGCGATTGAGGTTTGTTTCCTGCAGCGCGCTGTTTTTAACCAGCTGAGACGTTTCTCTCCTTTAGGCTGGTGAAGAACTTGTTCACTCTGGCCAGAGAACACAGCCCCTCCATCATCTTCATCGACGAGATCGACTCCCTGTGCGGCTCCCGGAGCGAGAACGAGAGCGAGGCGGCCCGCAGGATCAAAACGGAGTTCCTCGTCCAGATGCAGGGTGAGAGAACCTTCTTAAAGGCCCCTCATTGTAGCCAGAAAGGTTTGAGATGCTTGTATCTAGGAATGGCTGTGGTCATTCAATGTATGGATATCTGAAATGATCTTAGTATTTGTTTACTTAAAGCTGTAGTTTCTAACATAGCAAAATACAGCGCACTGCAGCCGGCACCACTTCGGATAGTTCAAGGGTCAAATGCGTTATTATTATGTGGTTATCTGGTACTGTACAATGCTGGACAATATGATGATATTTTATCGTTATTGTGATAAATTTTGTTATTAGGATAAACAATATGATTTTCTGAGCAGATCATAGATATCATTAGTACAGAACACTGAATAACAGTTTCATCAAAACAAGCTTAAATGGGAATTCCACAGATTTTTAAACATTTCTGCATAATTCAGTGTGTGAGATGTAAACAGTGTGATTCAGAGCGGTTTGGTGTGAAATGGTTCAGATGTCTTTACAGTGGTGATGATAGGAACCAGGGGTCGCCATGACTACAACACAAATATAGACATTTTATTTACTATCCAAAACCACCAGTGAACCTACACGAGTCTTCTGAGTTTATATGGAATGTTGATGATGGTAAAAAGTGGAAAACCTGAAAAAAGAAGCTTTTCTGGGGACTATTTTGCCTCATAACCCTGCATGCATCCCTCCATCAGTAATGGATTAAAATAAATGTATTAAAATACATTTTAAACCAAACCTTTATCATAAAACAGTGCGTCACATATCAGGCAGCGTTTATCTAACCATTTCATAACGTTGCTGTCGGAAAAAAACCTCATATCTCCATTTTACGTTTTTTCAGTTTTTTGACATAATTTGAAAAAACCTGTTGCTCTTTACATTGTTTGTAAATTTCATGATGAATTGTCCAAAAGAAACGGCTGAAAATGACTTGGAAAAAATTCTGGTTCCATTGACTTACATTAAAAGTAAAATAGGTTTTTTGCTTCTCCTGTAAAGTTACCACTTTGGAGATACGAGGTTTTGTTCCGACAGCAGCGAGATACTAGCTGTCTGTGATGGAGCTTTCAGAGGTGGACGTCTGGTTCCTATCACCACCACTGTGAACAGTTCTGGCTTGATAAGTTTCTCTAGAACAGAGCGTTTCACACCAAACCACTCTGAACGACTCTGTTTACATCTTAACCATTTAATTATGTAGAATTTCTTAAAAATCTGTGGATTTGCTTTAATTGGGTTTAGTGCAGTACAGAATGTGAGATGTTGAATAAGATTAATTGTGCCCAGTGTTTCTAAATGTGACACTGCTAGTGTACTGTGTCGTGTAGTGTATCGTGATAACATTATTGCCATATAGCCCACTGTAATATGCTTATAAAGAGACACTAATTAACTGTTATCTTCTCAGGTGTTGGTAATGATAACAAGGGAATTCTGGTGCTGGGAGCCACAAACATCCCCTGGACACTGGACTCTGCCATCAGGAGACGGTAACACTCACTTTCTATAGGAAACCAGTGCTATAGGTGCTGTAGGAAAACTACACTGAAAGGTCCTGCTCAGAGCCTTCACTGCAGAAGGAAACGCCCGTCTGTCATTTAGAAATTCCGAATGACATCTACAGGCCGTTCCGGGTTTGAATGACGTGTGCTGTTCAGCTGATTCAGCTCACACAGGACAGGTTTTTCAACTCTCTATTGAAATACACACTTGTAGCAGAGCAGAACACCACGAGACAGCAGAGCTCAAGCATGAGTCACTGAGGCAGGAGCTCATATGATAGAGTCCCCAGCTGGTGAGATTAGAGCTGTAGAACTGGTTCAGCTCCATACAGCGGTATGAGAACGGTCATGCTATTTATAGCAATGGTGCATTTACTGGTTTGAATGGACAGTAATTTTCCAGAGGTTAAATGTCGCAGCGGCTGTCCGGCGCCACCTCATCGCTCCGACGCAGGGGCATCCCGGCTTGTTCGAAGCTCCATATACTGAAGAGATCATTGCACGTTGTTCGGCTCAGATTGCTTCGTCCCAGCGACAGTTATTACAGAATATTCGGGGCCTCTTTCGAGTGAATCGCAATGAAGCTTTTTATGTATGTAAACGGTCTGTAAGCTCAAAGTTCCCTCCAGAGGGAGAAACTCTCTCCCGCAGAATCCTCTTTTCTCAGCTGCCTGAAACGCCTCGTTGGAATTCCAGCCCTTTTCCTTTGTTACAAGATGACATCATCATGTAACACAGTCCTTACTGCCCACCCACCAGCGAGCTCGGCACCCTCACACAGTGCACAGAGGCTACTGGAGGAGGAAGAGTGTGTTCAGTGCTGTAGTGTGTGGAGAGACGCTGACCGGACTTTCAGGATCCACTCTGGATCAAACTGATCTGGCAGAACCGATGCTATTGTAAGAACAGGTTCTTCAAGGGTTCTTTACTAAAATAAATGGTTCTATATAGAACCATGAACATTCAAAGAACCCTTTGCGTCATGAAAGCGTTCTTCTGATTGATGGAGAATGTGCATGAATGTGCTAAAATGGTTCTATATAGCACACAGAAGGGTTCTTCTATTGTTAGAAGCTTGATATTTTCAAAAAGGTTCTATACAGAATCATCTACATCACATTCTCCATCAGTCCGAAGAACGCTTTAATGATGCAAAGAACCATTTAATCAAGCAAAGGATTCTTTGAGCGTTCATGGTTTTATATAGAACCATTTTCTTTGAAGCACCTTCTTTTGAGGAGAGTAGCAAAAATAAAGTAATGAACACAACAGGTCCCCTTTAAAATAATGCAGTTCTGTAGTGGCTTTTGTCCACTTTGGTCCAGCACGGCTCGACATTAAGGTTGTCAAGGACTTCAATCCACAGTTTAATTGTCCAAAGACCAAAATCACTTATACACAGAAAAAAAAGGTCCATCAGAGCGCCTGCAAATTACTGCTCTGTTGTTTGTTTCATAAAGTGTCACAATTAGAATGGAGGGTTTCTGGTGTGATGGTCAGTCCTTAGTGATTTCCTGAGTGTCCATTGGTCAGTTTCATACAGAATGTAGTCGGACACACAAATCCACCAGTTCCACACGGTGAGAGGCAGATGACGTGTATCTCAGCCCCTCTTCACAGGCTCATAACTCCGGATGTGAGTCTCATAGGATCTCGTGATAAGATGGAATGGAAAGGGCGACTCTACAGATTCAGGAAGTGTTTGAATCGGATTTCTGCGATTAGAAACAGAGGGTTAATTAGTTAATTAGTCCTGTTTAATTGATTTTTGTGCCGTCCAGAGTGTGAAATGTTGAACAAAATCATTGTATCTGGAGTTTCAGTGTCAGTTTTTAAGTGTCACACTACCAGTGCAGCGTCTGTGTCAATATATTGTGATACATTTATTGTGTATCGTGAAAAAGTATCATGATATATTTTTGCTGTATCACCCACTCCTACCCTGATATCACATTTTCGGTGATAACAGGTCTGATGGACAGGCTCTGTTTTAATTTAATTTTTGATACCTAATGTTTTATTTAAGCTCTGCGTGGTGTGTAATTGTGTAGTTAAGCCTAGTTGCAGTGTTCGGCTGGATTACTCAAGTTCCTCCTTTGTGTGTTTGTAGATTCGAGAAGCGTATCTACATCCCTCTTCCGGAGGAGCACGCTCGTTCCTCCATGTTTAAGCTGCACCTGGGCACCACTCCAAACAGCCTCACCGAGGCGGACTTCGTCACTCTGGGGAAGAAGACAGACGGCTACTCAGGAGCTGATATCAGCATCATAGTGAGAGACGCGCTGATGCAGCCGGTCAGGAAGGTCCAGTCCGCCACTCACTTCAAACGGGTACGACGCCGTTTTAATAACGGGACATATTTTGGCCCTTTGGCGTGATTTTTCATGTAGTTATGAAAACCACACTTTGGTGTGTGTTGGACCAAAAATATGAAGTGTGTAAAACTGTTACTTCAATATGATATTTATTGTCAGAAAAAATCTTCTATCTCAGAGAAAAACATTGCTAACCTTACATTTGTTAGTCCAGGGGTCGGCAACATGTGGCTCAGAAGCTGCATGCAGCTCTTTTACTGCCCTGTTGAGGCTCCACAGCTGAATCAGATTAGTAGGTAAAAATAAAATAATCCTCCTTTACAGTAAAATAAAGCTCTGCTGATCATTCAACACAGTTTAACAATAAATGGTCTTAAACTCTGGAGTTAATGTAGAACTGCTGATTCACCCTTTAACCCTGAAGATCAGCGCAGACTGCTGGTCACCATAGCAACACAGACAACAGTCTCGACTAGCTAGTAGCTAACGAAACGGCAAAGAGAGAGATTTAAGATGAACATCGATAATTTGGAGCTGAATGGACTTATTAGTGTTTATAATCACTCCAGCTGGTTTCCTGATACGTTTAATCTGCAGTGAGAAACTGAAACACTAAAAAGTCACGAAGCTGAAGTCGCTTCTCGTTCGCCAGCTTCTTGTTCACATTGTCCCGTTCCACCTTAAATGGTGCAGCAGTTGCATTCTGGCACTCGAGGCACCATTTAAGGTGAAATGAGAAGATTCAAACAAGAAGCTGGCGAATGAGAAACGACTTCAACCTCGTAAAAATTTAAAGTTGAGAGACGTTTTACAAGAAACTGTTCTACTTTTGAGGAAAAGTTTCCTGCTGGAGATGTGTGAAAAGCAGCTATAGCTGAGCTAAAGCTTAAAGCAGAGCAAAGTAAGTCTGTGTTTTTGTTTGTTTTTTTGGTCTATATTAGCACATTAACACATACTGAGACATATTTACAGCCAAGATGGTAAAATAGACATAAAATGTTGAGGCTCCCAAGGTGGTTTGATTTTTCTTGAAAGGAAAAAATGACTCTTCTTAACATTTGGGTTGTGACCCCTGGATTAATGTCATCTAAAAAGGTTTCTTTCAAAGTTGCTGTTGGTGTATTTGTCATAAATGTTCCAACGGACACCAAATAGCTTTTATTACACACCAACACACACAAACACACACTCTTTCAGCTTGAATAAAAATTCAAGTTTTGGTAAAGAAAATAATACAATAATTTTTCCCGACAACTTTTAACAATTAAGTCACTTTTTAAATATGTATGTATGTATGTATGTATGTATGTATTTATTTATTTATTTATTTATTTATTCATTTATTTATTTATAGGTACGTGGGCCCTCAAGAGACGATCCAAACCTCGTTGTGGACGACTATCTGACCCCTTGTTCTCCAGGTGATCCAAACGCCGTAGAGATGACATGGATGGAAGTTCCTGGAGAAAAGCTGCTGGAGCCTGTGGTTTGCATGGTGAGTTCTGTTCCTTCTAACTCTGCTTTCTCCTAATTTGTGCTGTTAGTGAATAGCTAGACTTCCCTCTTCACATCTAGAGTAAATGCACATCGCCACCTAGTGGCACCTAGTAACCCGGTCGCAACTGTTCAAAGTTCAAGCCCTTGCTCACACTATCAATGTCAAAAATGTTTGATATTTATAGTTATCGTTAACATTTCATCACCCAGGTGTAATCATCTGTAGTCTATTGTGCACAAAGTATAATCCGGGTAATTAGGACAGCGTGTCCTCTTTATTGAATACTAAGTTTGCGAAGTCGTAACCGTTTCAGACGTCCTTGATAGGTTATTGGATCAAACTGTTCCAGATTTTTGTAGCCGTTCTGCAAAGCTCGCGCTCTCCTGCTTTCACTTGAGCTAAAACCTGCATTTTGCTTGTATTTTCAGTCGGACATGCTGAGATCGCTGACCAACACGAAGCCCACCGTCAACGAGCAGGACCTGGAAAAGTTGAAGAAGTTCACCGAGGACTTCGGCCAGGAGGGCTGAGAGGGAAGCCTCTCTTCCTGAAACCAAAGCAAACACATCTTGATTGTAAAGTCTACTTCCTTCCTTCTCTTCAGTTTCTTCTCCTCCTGGACTTCTCCCTTTGACCGGCGGCTCAGCAGACGGCACAGTCGGGCTAGTCTGGACGCTACGTGGGGACCTGTTGTCTCTTGATTCATATACTAGCCTTGTTTAGTTTCCTTTTGTTTCCTTTTGTTTTGTTTTGTTTGTTTATGGCTACCATCAGCACAGGCCGAGGCTGCGTGTCCACTGCGTGTCTTTTCAGCAGGATCTCTCATCGTAACTGTCCGTGTCTGCACGGCTCGCTTTGAATTCATCCGCATTCTGTATGTGTTTTGTTTTTTTTCCTCACGAACGCCTTTGTTCAGTGGTACATGGCACTAATATGAAGTTATTCTCATACATATTTCCGCTTGTTTGAAAGCGAAAGCCTTACCTTGATTCTGTTGGATGCAGTGGGCAGTGTCAGAATGAAGCCTTCAAACTGGTCAAGTGCTGATACTGATTTATAGAGTACGTCTGAATGGACTCGACAACCGAAGCTAAGGTAAATAACCCAGGAGAGAAAGACGTTTACATGTTTTTCCACTGAAAAGGGTTTGAAGATCTTGCTATGAAGATCACTATAACAATGCCTTGAGACTTCCCATCCCCTCTATGATTGGTGGAGGGCTGATGTTTTGTAGCTCTTTCAGACCAGATATATCAACAATACCTTTCCTTTGAGCTGTTTATCTCGCTCCGTTGGTCCACATTAAGAATCACTAAGAGGCATTTAGGGGGCCAAGCACTCAAATGTGCTTAGCTCATCATATTTAATACTCTCAGTTTCAACAAAATTGCAATTCTTCTTGCCAGCAACTGTGATATAGCAACCTTTCTTTATATGCGCGAGTGTAACTACATGTTCTACAGACTTACAGGGCTGCCTCGTGGCAAAATAGTGAGTACCAGAATAAAAAGATGCAGATTTAAGGTACATGTGACATATCTGAACATGCCTTCTCCTGGTCACCTCACCCTTTTGCTGCGGCTAAGCAAACCATGTGCCTTCAACGCATATATCTATTGTCTTTGTTCAGTTCCAGAAGGTCTACGTATGTGAATAGGTCTACATTGTTCCGTAGTCAGAACATTTGGGAGACGGTTGTCTATTATTTGCACATTTCATTTAAAATAAATAAATAATAAAAAAAATCATACTCTATCAGATTGTATACACGCCTGTACTCCTATGCACATATGGTGTTGGTTTTTCCTTAAAAATATTATTAAAATAGAGAGAATATGGCTTTTAAAATGTGCTATTACTATGTACTTTTACATAATTGTGTACCCGTCTTCAGTTGGAAGCTCTTCAAAGATCTGTCTGCTTCGGAGCTCATGAGTTTTTTTTGGTGTTGCTTGTTTCTTTTATTACATACCTGTAAATAAAGGCTGAGATTGCAAAGAAAATGGGTCAAAAGCAGTTCTTCATTAACCAGTTTTAGGTTCATCAGCATAAATTGAGCGCTTCCAGTTTTTAAACAGAAATGAACATCACAGAAATGTTGATTCTACAAAATAATGTAATTAGACTGAAAGAAAGGAACGTGTTTCTTGCTGTAATCCTAGATTTTATGCTGTTATTATGATCAAAATGAACTTTTTAGTGGAGCCAGCTTAGAACTGGTCGTCTTACACATGCAAGCTTTGGTTAATATATGTGCAGAAAACGTATTTTTCTTGTTTTTACTACACCGTTGCCTTAAAATTTGGGCGTTTTAACTTTTCTACAGCCCATCACTGCGATTGACAGCGATTTTTACGACCGGCACTGGAACTTGTAGTCCGCCCTGTAAGGGCTCTGCGCTGTTGTTCATCGTAAAATGACACCTAAAAAACTACAAATTCTGTGAACAAGCGTTACGGAAGTTTACGGTCTCTTCAAACGCGGCGCTGGACTCTGGAACTTGTAGTCCTCCACCTAAAACACTTCCAACGTATTCAATCACCTTGTGAAACCAAGCAAACCTACAAATCCCATAAAATAGGTAAGACGCGCCCGAAACGCGGCGCTGAACTCTGGACCGTGTAGTCTTTCGATGAGCGTGTTGCAGCGTTCTTCAGCGCTACGTGAGATCTAAAAAAACTACATATCCCATAAACGAGCGCGGAATCGCGTCCAAGTGCCCTAGTAAATGTTGTGTTTTGGTTCATATTGGCCAGTCGTACGCGTTTAAACTCGTTTTGCCTTGCCGTCGTGAGCCTCCCAGGCGTATTAATATTAAATACGAGTTCTTAAGCCGTGCAAACGCGCGTCTGCCTTGGGAAAATCTCCGCTTTATACAGCGTTAGTGAGCTTGTTGGTTGCCTCCAGCCACCGGGAGCCCCATGTCCTCCGACCCGGGCTGGAGCTCCGCGGTCTCGGCCTGGCTCTTCTCCAGCTCCTGGTGGCCGCTCCTGCCCTTCGTCATGCTTTTAGTGGTCGCTGCTTTCGTCGTGGCCTTCGTCCTGCTGCTCTACATGATATCTCCTCTGATCAGCCCCAAACCGCTCAAACTCAACGGGGCCCATGTCGTGGTAAGGCAGCTGAAGCCAGCCAGCAGCTTCATCCTGGAAAAAAAGACTAAAACAAACAAAATACTAAAATATGGAGCCCTGAGGTGACATGGCGACTATTTTTGGCCACGAATTAACTTACTATGTCGAGGCCACGAGTTTCAGTTTAATTTTCTCATAAGTCGTGGCCTCAATATATTCATTTGTGGCGTCTATTATATTAATTTTGGCCATAATGTGGTAATTCGTCGCCTCGTTGTAGTAATTTTAGTCTCTATATATTAATGTGTGGCTTTAATGTAGTAACTGGTGGCCTCAATATATTAATTTGTAGCCGCAGTGTGGTTATTTGTGGCCTCAATATAGTTAATAATGGCCTCAATATAAATTTGTGGCCTCTGTATATTCATTTGTGGCTTCAACGTAGTAACTGGTGGCCTCAATATATTAATTTTTGGCCTCAGTGTAGTAGTTTGTGGCTTTAGTGTAGTAACTAGTGGCCTCAGTATAATAATGTTTGGCATTGATATATTCATTTGTGGCCTCAATATAGTTATTTATGGCCTCAAAATATTAATGTGTGGTCTTAGTATATTAATTTCTGGCCTCTGTATATTAATTTGTGACTTCAGTGTAGTAACTAGTGACCTCAATATATTAATTTGTAGCCACAGTGTGGTTATTTGTGGCCTCTGTGTATTAATTTGTGGCCTCAATATAGTTAATAATGGCCTCAGTATACATTTCTGGCCTCTATATATTAATTTGTGGCTTTAATGTAGTAACTAGTGGCCTCAATGTATTGATTTGTAGCCACAGTGTGGTTATTTGTGGCCTCTGTATATTAATTTGTGGCCTCAGTATAGTTAATAATGGCCTCAATATATTAATTGGTGGCCTCATATTAATTTTTGGCCTTAATATAGTAAACTGTGGTGAAGCCTTATTAAAAAATAGTCACCACGTCACTCAGGGGCTCCATAAATTCTAATGATTTCTGATTTGTATTTGTCTGGGGAAACTCAGTTGTAACACATTAACCTGTTAGTAACCAATAACGGGTGGGTGGATGAAGGGCTGGTCACTAGTTACGTTCATTTAGAAGTACAGAGAAGGCTGAAGTTGGCCTTTTATTCTCCAGCTTCTCGTTCGAATTTTACGTTCCACCTTAAATGATGCAGCGTTTACATGCTGACGCCTCAGTAGTGAGAATGTAACTGCTGCACCTTTTAAGGTGGAACGGAAATTTCGAATAAGAAGCCGGCTTTGTGAAGTGTACAATACTGGAGTGCTGGAGGCTTGTTTGGCCTTCCTCAGACTGATTTTTGGGAGCCTTTAATTTGCCATAAAGCAATATTATAGTATATCAGTATAATTATATAACTATAATAATTAATACTATATAATTATAACTATATATACACTGACTGGCCGCTTCATAAGTCCACCACCTTGTATCTCCACTCAGTGTCCACTTTATCAGCTTCACTGACCATATAGATTCACTCTGTCGTTCTACAGTTACAGACTGTAGTCCATCTGTTTCTCTGATACTTTGTTAGCCCCCTTTTACCCTGTTCTTCAGTGGTCAGGACCCCCATGGACCCTCACAGAGCAGGTACTATTTGAGTGGTGGGTCATTCTCAGCACTGCAGCAACACTGACGTGGTGGTGGTGTGTTAGTGTGTGTTGCGCTGGTACGAGTGGATCAGACACAGCAGTGCTGCTGGAGTTTTTAAACACTGTGTCCACTCACTGTCCACTCTATTAGACACTCCTACCTTGTCAGTCCACCTTGTAGATGTAAAGTCAGAGACGATAGCTCATCTGCTGCTGCACAGTTTGTGTTGGTCATCCTCTAGTCCTTCATCAGTGGTCACAGGACGCTGTTGGCTGGATATTTTTGTTTGGTGGACTATTCTCAGTCCAGCAGTGACACTGAGGTTAAACTCTAGCAGCACTGCTGTGTCTGATCCACTCAGACCAGCGCAACACACACTAACACACCACCACCACGTCAGTGTTGCTGCAGTGCTGAGAATGACCCACCACTCAAATAGTACCTGCTCTGTGAGGGTCCATGGGGGTCCTGACCACTGAAGAACAGGGTAAAAGGGGGCTAACAAAGTATCAGAGAAACAGATGGACTACAGTCTGTAACTGTAGAACTACAAAGGGCTCCTATACGGTCAGCGGAGCTGATAACGTGCACAGGCCACATGTTTTATTTTTTCCCCAATATGTTAAATTCAGTAATTAAACAGTAATCGTGTATTAAAATGTGCAGAAGTTTGTTCTCTGTAGGCGACATGTTCACTTATTTTCACTTAGAAAATCAACAGAACATTACAAAACAAAGTTTAATGTATAGTTCGCTTTTCTTTCTGGAGCCTCAGTGGCTGTTCAGTGTGTAAAAATGTTTTTAATGAAATTATTTTAATTAATTTCTTATTCAATCAACAGGTGACTGGTGGCAGCAGTGGCATTGGGAAGTGCATCGCCATCGAGTGCTATAAACAAGGTGCCTTCATCACTCTAGTGGCGCGTGATGAGGTGAGTCATTAGCCACGTTTACATGCAGCCTAATAATCCGTTAATAATCCGACTAATAGCTCAATCTGAATATTCTAGTCCGATTGAGGCCATTCGGAATAGTTTCTATCTGACTGATCGAGGTGGGTAATCCTGTAAATAATCCGTTAAATAGAAGAATAATATCCGTGTAAATGCCTGTATCTGATTACATTCCCTATCGGAAAGTTTAAGTCCGTTCTGATCATGTTCGTCACGTCATAGTGAGAGTTTATACCGTTCAACATGGTGGAGCAGAAACTGGTCTGCAGAGGAGACGAAGTTTATGCTCTGATCTTTAAAAGACGGCGGTGGGACGGACGTCCAGCTTATGTGTCTCAGAACACGACGTCTTCCTCTCGGCCTTCTTTAATAAGGACATGTGAAGGACGTTTTCCTGAGTCTGACATCATTTTTTAAAAACAAGCGCTGCTCACTGCTGCTCATCTCACTCTGACTGGACTCACGTGATGCTGGTTGTCATGGTAACATCTACACTAAGCGGTTCTCTACGCTTGCGCGTCATTTTGGATCTGATTACTTGTAGTGAACATGTAAACAGAGATTTTCACCAGATTGTTGAGTAGAGTGAGAATAAACACCTCAGTCTTAATCGATGATCAGAATATTTTCAGTCGGATTCCCCCGTTAGTCATCCCCCTTTAGATGCTTTGCAGAGCCAGTAAACATCTTTTTAGTCCCTTGAGCAAAACTTTTATTTAATTTTTATTTATTTTAAAATAATCTCTACAGAGCAAGCTGGTTCAAGCGAAGAAAGAAGTGGAGAAATGCGCCATAAATGATAAACAGGTACGTTCCACAAACACAGGAACCTCCTAACATGCTTAATGAAACAGATTAGCTGCACTTTATCGGCTTAGAGTGATCAGATTGTAACTGCAGATAAAGCGTTCTTACTCGTCTGTACTGTGGCAGTTATTGATTATTGTTTATTGATAGTTGCTTATTATCTCTTAGGTGGTGCTGTGCATTTCCGTCGACGTGTCCAAAGATTACAGCCAAGTGGAGAGTGTAATAAAACAGGTAAGTTAGTGTTTCAGACAGTTCAGTCATAAGAAGAGTGAGTTTAAGAAGGTGGCGATTCACAGAATCTGTTATAGTTAATTAGAATTGATTTTAATAATATTCAGTAAAGCTCAATTTTTGTCAGAAATCAAATTCTCACCTTTAAACATAGAAATCCATGAAGAAAAAGCCTGGCATGTTATTATTGTCAATATTCAGCTACTGACATCACATTTCTGAATTCACTGTATCTTAATATTAATTCTGTCACATTCAGTCAGATCACATTGTGGTAAATTCATTTCACAATGCATTGACAGCACGATACTACTGTTTCTTATCCGATACCGATATAGAAATATTGAATATCGGCCGATACTGATCCAATATTTGTTCTTTAAAACCTACTGAGGTTTAAAATGATCTGTTTTTAATTGAACCACTTCTCTTAAAGCTTTTTTAATAATTGAAAGAAGTTTTATTACTGAACCAGGAGAATAAAAACAGACTAAAACTTCTGTGAGTCGCCCTGTAAAGATCAAAATAACCATATAAAAGTCAGATGTGCCGGGTCGAGTTTTTCACACCACATCATACGTTTTTATGTATTGACGTCATATGGACAGGCTCAGAAAGAAGGTCCAGCTCGATGTTTAGGTCTCAAATGAGCCCAAAATCAACATTATACTGATGAAGATGTGATGACAACTGTAGTTAATTCACTCACATCCTCAGAAGACGTGTCCTTCACCAAGTTTAGACTGAGTCCTGTTTGAATTCTGCTTCAGTAATCAGATTCAACTGCAGTTGCACATTTCCACCAGAGGGGTCTCCAAATCCCCAAAACCTGCATAGTGTTGCTCTAAGCTGATGACGTGAAAGTAATCTGTGGTGTTACTCGGTCACTGTATTGACCGCACAGCTAACATCACATCTCACGGTGTGAACAGGCGCTGTTTCAGGACAGATTTGTCACAGGATTGGATCAACTCTTTTTCCACTGTGGTAATCTGATCAAGCATTGTCTGCTGATTTTGGCCTAACAATGATACCCACATGCAGAGGTGGCAGAAGTACTAGTAATCTAGTAAAAAAGTACTTAAGCAAATGCTGAAGTGTGACTTAGATTTTTTACTTAAGTAGAAGCATAAAGGTACGTCCACATAAATGTACTTAAAATAAAAAAGTATTTCTTTAAAAATCATTTCTGACTCAGTTTTTCTGTTTTAGAAATGTGAGTAAAAAGTACAGGTTTTTCTTTTAAAATGTAGTGAAGAAAAGTAAAAAGTGTTAAGTGACAGAAATACTCAAGTGCAGGTACCTAGAAAAATTACTTAAGTACAGCAACAAAATACTTCGTTACTTACCACCTCTGCCCATATGATACCGATATGCAGCGTCTGGCGTTTCCTAAAGAATTGTAATTGAATGTTTATTGAGGTCAGAGATCTGCACTCCTGTTTGAAGCTGTTGGCTGTCTGTGTGTATCTGCAGGCTCAGGAGAAGCTGGGCCCGGTGGACATGCTGGTGAACTGCGCAGGGATTTCCGTCTCTGGGAAGTTTGAAGAAGTGGACGTGGAGCGCTTCCGGGTGAGTCTGGAATGCCAGTAGCCTGAGGAGATGGTAAATGATACTGATAAGCTGATCATTCTTACGCAGTTCAGTGTCTGTAAACATTCTCTACACAGTTCAGTCGTTGAGATGTAAACAAAGTCATCCAGAGTGGTTTGATGTGGTTCACTGTAGAGAAACTTGGCAACCAGGGGCCGTATTACAGAAACTTCCTCTATTTTTGTCCTAAGATCTGACAGGTCAAGATAAGATTTTTCACAAATTCGTATTACAGAAGCAAATCTGATCTTAATTTAGGAATCTTATCTTACAGCATCTTATCTCCAGTTAGGAAAGCACAGCTGAAACGTAAACACATCATCAAAATAAAGTTAAAAATGTGAGTTAAGCTGCTGTTACTGATGTAAAAAGGTCAGAACAAACTAAAGTGTGATAAACTGTAAGTAGTGAATACTGTGAGAGCGCCCCCTGCTGTTTATCAGAGCGTCGCCGCTCCCTAGTTTCAGTCTCCGTTTCCCAAACGCTTTAGCCGAGCGCGCTAACGTTACTCCTCCTAATAAACAGACACACGTTCAGCTCCGTCTCCTCATTATTCACCACCATCACTGTAATATTTCATCATCAACATTAACACACGAAGGTGATCAGAGGGGCGGTGGAGATCGAGTCTGCAGCGTCTGAGATCTTTAAAACGCAGAGTTAGAAAAGAAAATCATCTCACAGTGAAAGCAGCGTTTTACAGTAGGAATAAATGGAGCTCATTATGCTGGTAGTGAACTATGCTGCTGACACAGCTGCCTAAAAACCATAGAAACGGACCTTAAACAGAAGTGAGGACCCTGTTGGGGTTCATCCTAAAGTTAGGACAGGATTTAGGAGGTTTAGTCTAGTTAGGATGTTTGTGTGATGCTGTTTTCTTATCTGGAGTTCATGATGAGATTATGAAGTTAGGAACTGTTATTCTGTAATAGACACTGAACTAAATTCAGTCTGTACTGAAGTCATCGGTGACTAAAGCTACGTTCACATTACAAGCCTCATTCCTCAAATCCGATTTTTTGCTCAGATCCGATCTGTCTGACACGATGGTTCACACTCGTTTAGGTAAGTGACTCAAATCTGTCATTAATGTGACAAACCGGCGTCCTGAAATGACCCTCATGAGCTCATCCTACTCAGTAACGTCACGTGAATGAATCACATTCATCATCAGTACAAACTAACGAGCAGAACGAGCTTCGCTGAGAAGATCATTAACTCTGATCAGCTCTCAGCTTCATTATTAGAGCGAGACGAAGGAGAAAAAGGTGAGATGAGCTGCTTTTCCACCGTTTACAGGCTTTAACTTCTGTTCGGTGCTGCTGCCATGGTAACGCTGAATGATGGCGCAGCGGGAAAAAAAGCACATGAATTCCGATCTGAGCGTCACATTAAGGTCACATGGCCACGAATCGGATACGTATCCGATCTAGGACCACATATGAAAGTGGCTCAGGTCGGATTTGAAAAGATCAGATTTTTGTCCACACAGCTCTGAAAACATCAGATCTGAGTCACATTAGGACAAAAATCTGATCTGTGCCACTTCAACCTGGTAATGTGAACGTAGCCTAAACAGATAAGATTTCAGAGTTAAGAAGTTTCTGTAATAAGGCTCCTGGTTTTGCTTACAGCAGTGATGATAGGAACCAGGGGTCACCATGACTACAACGCAAATATAGACATTTTATTTACTATCCAGAACCACCAGTGAACCTACACTTCTGAGCTTATATGGAATGTTGATGATGGTGAAAAGTTTTCTTTGGGGTCTGTTTTGATCACAGTGCCCTGCATGTAGCCTTTCACTATGCGTACATTTTAGAAAAACTAATTTTATGCCACAACCTTTTCAAAACTATCATAAAATGTCAGACAGTGTATCCATAACTGTTTCATGTAATAACTTCATGAGAATCAGATTTTTTGCCAAGCTGTTGCTTTTAGCTTGGATGCAGATTATCTTTTTAAAAAGCTTCATCATTAAACACTACAGATGTTTTCCTGTGTTGGTGCAAGACTGACCTGTGTGATGTGTCTGTGTGTCCGTCAGAGTCTGATGGAGGTGAATTATCTGGGCAGTGTGTATCCGACGCGGGCCGTCATCACCACCATGAAGGAGCGGAGGATGGGCAGGGTCGTGTTCGTTTCCTCTCAGGCCGGACAGCTCGGCCTGTTTGGATACACTGCGTACTCCGCCTCCAAATTCGCCCTGAGGGGGCTCGCTGAGGCCCTGCAGATGGAGGTGGGGCTGGGTGTGGTTGTTGTAGTCAGCCAAGGAACGCTTTTCAACCTAAATATGAATAATTATATTTAGCCTTTGATACCTAGAGTTATGCAGTACTGTGCAAAAGTCAGAGACCACCTTTCGTTTATTTAATATCTAGTCAAAACGTTCATTGAGTGCAAGCTATTCATTTTTCAGTGTCAGAAAAACAAGCAGAAAACACAGATTTAACAGAATCATCAACAACTAACTCTGATATCAGCTGTGTGAGTCAGTGAGTCACTCTTTCCCTTTATTCCAGCTTCCATTCTTTTCAGGAGACTCACTTTCAGCTCCTCAAAGAATCTGCAGACACACCTCCAAAGTTCAGTCTTAGAAGCTGGTTGATGATTTTCTGAAGTAATCAAACACATTCAGTGGTGTTGAGGTCTGGACACTGGGGTGGTCAGTCCATCGTTCAGCTTCTTTGTTTGATGTGTCCGTCTCCTTTTCTCAGTGAGGTTCTTCTTGATCAGCTACACATCCTTTCAGACCCACAGCGCTGAGTCGTCTTCTCACAGTGGAAGGATGGACAGAAACACCTGTGGATGTTTTCAGATCTGAAGCAGCTTGATTTTCTCCTCTCTTTCAGAGATGAAAGCTTTAAGTGCTGTTTATCTGATGGGGGCAGTTTTGGTGTCTACCAGGTCTTCCAGGTGGTTGTTAGGAGGCACATTTTCTCTGTAGCTTTTAATCCTGTTTTGAATTCTAGTTTTGGAAACTTCTGTTTTTCTCCACTTGACTTTTTCCTTCCTCATGAAGGTGGATTGTCTTATATCTAATCTCCTCAGAAACATCTGAAAAAAGTCTAAATAGAATTTAATGGCCATTTTGACTGGGAATAAAGTCAAAGGAGGTCTCTGTTTTAATGTTAAAAAAAGAGGAAATGTACAGGGTGACTTTCTTTCTATGAGAAGTCTGAACACACAACAGTAGCTTTAGTGAAACTGTGAATATCTCCTCTTTAACTAACAAACACAGTGGTATGGATTGAAAGTTTAGAATCTGCACTTTCAGCAGACTTTCTTTGCCTTTTTTAACAAGCTAGAGTTAGAAATAATTCATATAAAATACCAGCAGTGTTAGCTGTGACTTTATTTGGGTTAATATAGGCTCAGTTCAGTATGGAGCCCTGCTGGTGACATCTTGTATAAATAAAAATAACATGTGGCCTCGCTGTATTAACAAGTGGGAAAGAGATCCTAATACATGGCCATGGCTTAATAAAATGTGGGAACAAGATAATTAAGGCGTGGCCACAACTTAGTAATGTGTGGGAACGAGATTGTGCCTTATTAACCAGTTGTTCTCCAGGGTATATTTTGGTTTGTCCATCTGAATTTACAGGCCCAAATCATAAGGCAAATTATTCAGTAACAGCATGAAATAAATGTGAAGTGTTGGTGTTTTTTTTTTTTATTTTATTTTTTTGTAAAAGCTCCACTCAAATTAACAGAACGTGTTTTATGATCACACATATTGCTATATTCTTACAATTTACTGCTCTTTGTAATATTTTATAAAAAATAATGTTTACAGAGCAGATCACTGAAGAGACGCCATCTGTTTATAGTTTATAGCCCAGATTTGTGGAAAAATGGGTCGACTTTCAGTAGAAAATAAACTGTGAGTTCAGCTTCTTTTATTATAAGGGTTTAAAATTACATCACCATCTATTTGACTGGAGAGAAGACAGTTTCAGCTCTCATACGACCCCCACCTTTAGAATGAGGCTTATGAAATCTGAAAGTTATGAAGTACAGAATATGACTAAGTGTGTTTTGAAACCACCGGTAGTTCCAAGGAGTTAAATAAAGCTGTGGTCAAGGCTTAATTATCTCATTCCCATGCCTTACTAAGTCGTGGCCACTCATTAGGATCTCGGTCCTACGCCTTACTAAGTCGTGGCCACGCATTATTTTTATGTATACAGGATGTCACTAGCAGGGCTCCGTAGTTCAGAGCTGGAGGTTTTAAAGTAGTTACTGTTTGGCTCTTTATTGTTTGATTACCAGCAGCTGTCCTTCTGTATCTTCTCCTCCAGGTGAAGCCCTATAACATCTATGTCACAGTGTCTTACCCTCCTGACACTGACACGCCATGCCTGACAGAGGAGAACAAGACCAAGGTGAGCTGCTGTTTGCTGTTTTTGTGTCAGGGCTGTGGATTGTTTCTAAAGCAACACAGGAATGGTTTGTAGAGGTGGCACGATACCACTTCTCTGATACTCATACCAATACTTGAGTATCAGCCGATACCGATACCTTCTTTGGCTGATACTCATGGTTTCAGTAACTTACTGAAAACTAACCTGTACAATAGTTTATATAGTATTTATGTATCATGATGTTATAATATGACTTTAGCTTCATTCACGCAGCAGGTAAAAGTGGCCCGAATCTGATTTTCTCACCAAATCTAATTTTTTTGTTTGTCTGTTCAGATTATCTTTTAAATGTGATCTGTATGCGACATCAGTCTGAACAGATCAGCTCCTAAACTGACCCACGTGCACAGAAGAACAGAGCGTCACGCTGCTTCACGGCTCATCCAGAGGTAAACAATCACGACTGCCAACGAGCGCCAGTCGCTCCCGGAGGATCAGCTTCATCTTCACCAGCGTCACAGGAGCCACCATGAAGCTTCACTGACTGACAGCTGGGCTCATCACCCAGAATGTGTTAGAGCCGTGAAAAGGGCGCGGTCACTTCTTTGGTTTGCGTCCTCGGATTCTTTAAACTCTGCTTTCAGACTTTTAACTGTTCTTTGACGCTGCAGCCTCGTTCTCCTGCGGCCGCGTTCGGACATTTCTTTCGAAAAATCGAAGTGTCTTCTAATGTTTTGATTCAGAAACATCAGCCTAAATTATGATGAATGTCGAGCTGGATTGCCGTAAAAGTTGCATGAATTCCGATCCGGCTGTTCAGACTGAGTCGCACTGCTACATATCGGATACGTATCAGATTTCAGTACCACATATGAAAGTCAGATTCAGCGTCTTTATCTGTTCACACAGACACACATCTGCGTCACATATGAAGAAAAAGATCAGATTTGGGCCACTTTTACCTGCTGTGTGAACGTAGCCTTTTTTTTTCTTTACGTTTACTGCAACAAGCAATTCTGTCTAATTTCAGGCTAAATTTGTGACGGAACTGGATTGAATTCTTGCTTTTTCCTTTGATTTCCAATCCTACATATTATTCTGACGTACATTAGCCTTGTAGCTCCACTGCAGAACTGAAGAAGCAGATTTCAGACGCCAAACATGTCTTGACTGACTACATTTGAGATAAAGGGAAAAGTGTTAATTAGATTTTTTCTTTAACGTCCAGTCGTTTGCCTTCTTGTCTTCTGCTACATACGGTGTCTTCACAGTAACTTTACAAGAACTTTGGCGAATTTCCAAACGTTTCATAGTTTTCCAGACACGGTTCAGGTGTAGTTCTGGGCTGAAATCTCCTCTTAATGAACTGTTTTAATGATTCATCTTTATAGAGAGGTGGATTTTAACTGATCTCTGTCTCAGCCTTTAGAGACCAAGCTGATCTCGGAGACGTCTGGAGTGTGTCAGCCTGAGCAGGTGGCCAAAGTCATCGTTAAAGACGCGGTGGTAAGCTTTCAGACTGCGTAATGTATTACTACTCCTCTGCTTAGATTTGAGGGATTTTCGATCTTGACCTGAAACCTTTGCGAGTGGTAAGAATATAAATAATGAAACTTTTAATACGGCAATTAAATAGACCCCATGTGTCAAACGCAAGGCCCACAGCACAATCCTATCCAGCCCGTGAAATTATTTTAATGTTCTAATAGTATGAGGCTGTTTCACAGTGAGCCGCACTACAATCCTCAGCATGCATTGCAGAGTACTATGCACTCTGACCCACATCCCTCCTGTCAGTGACAGCAGTTACACCACAGAAAGAAGAGATGGTAGGTGTCTAGTTCAAGCAGATAGGCAGGTTTAAAAAACCTACCTCCTGGAGAAAATTAAAGAGGTTTAAGGCCCAATCCCATTTCTTATGTTTACCCCTGCCCATTGGAACTGAGTTACAGGGTAGTGGTTGAGATCTTCCCTCTGAAATGGGACCCTCAAATAAAAAGAGCATCACTTCATTAACAGCTACCAGCGCTGCTCTGTAGGCGACCCTGCCAGTCTGCAGTGACAGCAGAGGAGGGTAAAGTTCAGCTCCTCACTGCTGGGCTTTAGTTACATTTAGGGCATCATATGCCTTCAGAGAGGGGGGCAATTATTTATTATCACCCACCCCTGATTCTTCAGTGATATGAAGCTGAAGTCAGATATTCACCAGCTTCTTATTCTAATTTTCCTGTTCCACCTTAAATGGTGCAGCAGTTACATTGTGGTGCTTCAGGTGTCAGAACTGCTGGACTATTTAAGGTGGAACGGGAAAGTTAGTTACCTAGCTACCGAGACATTAGCATACTATTAGAAGAAAAGGGCCATAATACACTGAAACAACATTAAACTAAGATAATATGATGGTTATTGTAATTTTGTGAAAATTCTTGGTCTCTTGTTCTCCATCTTGCCGATTTTTCTTTTTTCCTCATATCTCTCTGTTTGGAGTCTCTGAAAAGCCTCCGTTTGGAGGGCCATGTAGTCCTAACACTTCACCCCACCCCAACGAGAATCAGGACACCCTACCCCTAGACATGAACGCGCAAAACAGAGGGGTAGGGCTAAGCGGTAGGGGCCAGGAGTGAAATGGGATCGGGCCTAACGTTTATCTGTAGGTAATATAGGCTGTTGTTTTTTTCAATATATGAACAATTATTTTTCACTAGTTCAAGTATTCATGTAATTTTACTAGCCTATATTTTTCTGTTGCAGTTTTGGCATATTTTGAATAAACTCTGTCCAGTTCAGGTCATAGCAGATTGTTCATTAAACGTTCTCTGGTCCACAGATTTGTTGAGACCCTTTCAGTGGTTGAGTTTGACGCCTCTGGTATAGATGGGTGTCACAGTTGACTATAAATAGATAGTACGGTATATTACTTCAGTTCCTTAGATGGATGGTTCTGTTCCCCACTCCTATAACATAGGATGTTTGTATTATTGTGTAATTACTGAATAATAAGCCTTAGGATTAACCATATGGCAGCATATCAGTAGCAAAATTAACATGAAAATGAAATATGCAAAATAACAACGTATTGAGCGCGCTGTTGGCCCCGCCCTGATGAGACGACGGACGGGTGAAGGTCTAAGAAAATGAACAACATATGGTCGAGCGCCGTAGGCGAGTGCATTAGAATTACCATCTTTCTAGCTTGGTGATCTCTTTGATAATGCGATTTCAAATGTGTGCAAGATGAATCAGGTATAAGGTGAATTACATTTTAATTATTTTGACACCATTATTGCATAGTTAATTTATATTAGCATATTTGTATTACGCATAATCATGCAGTTCTGAAATACGTTTTAGTTTAAAGCTACTCAAGCTACTAAAGCGTATAAATCTCTGTAAATCAAATGGCAGTGCTGATGTACCAAATGGCCAATTAAAATGGCAGAAATGGACTTTGAGCCCAAAATTGAACGAGAGGGAAATTTAAATTTGATAATAACATAAGAAATAACATTTTCATTGTACTGCTGCTGTGCTTCTATAGGAATGTAAGAACGGAATAAATTTTTGTTCCTGAAAAATCCAAAAGTACATTTTGTGACACATTAATACTATTTCAGCATACGCAGTGTGTTATTATTAAATCAAATAGCAATAGTTATTAAAATGACGAGTAATCTCACACGTTTTGAGTAGTACTGTGTTGTGGGTCAGGTGTGATTTGTTCTAATCACCTCTTTATCCTTTTACAGCAGGGGAACTTTAACAGCTCTGTGGGTCCTGACGGCTACATGCTCTCAGCTCTGACCTGTGGGATGTCCCCCGTCACCTCCATCACTGAAGGACTGCAGCAGGTACCTTTACTGATCCCTCTCATGCAAAATTACATCACAGTACACTTTTCTAAGTAAATTGTGGAATCTGGACTGCGTATATTATAAAAAAGACACATTTAGACCAATTTTCAGGCAACCTAGCACCAGCAGCGCTTATACTACTAGACTAAAATAATTTAAATACTAAAGTTTTAACTTTAACACACAAAAACATGAATCTAAGTTGAATAATAACTTCTCTGTGTTTAGATCGTGACCATGGGCCTCTTCCGCACCATCGCTCTCTTCTACCTGGGCAGTTTCGACAGCATCGTCCGCCGCTGCATGATCCAGAGGGAGCAGTCCAAAGCGGCTGATAAACGAGAGTAAAACCAGAGAGCCCCCCCTACCCCCCCCAAAACACACACAAACACAGCACTGAAATGAGTGGCCATTGGAGCAGCACGTAAAAAAAAATGTTTATGTTCTCAATACACACTGTGGTCAAGGCCACTGTTTTTCTTATTCCAGCTGTCCTTCTCTGTCTTGTGAAGCACTTAAGTGCAGTGACAACTGAGGGTTTTATTTAACCTCAGAAATTTGGAATCATTTTAATGTCGAAACTTTTGCGTTTGTGTTTTCGTGGCACAAACAAGGAGAATTATCCATGAGGTTAGTGAGTTTACTTTGGAATTCCTGCCTTTTTTGCCCATTTAAAAAAAACTGATCCTGTGCTCAACTGCAAGTAAGAACTGAGCACAAGTTTTAGATTCTAGATTTTAAGCTGTTAAACTTCTTCTTTGAAATGTAAAGTCATTGAGTGGATTGTAGTGGTTCATTGTGGGCAAACTTGTTAACTCGCCGGCTTCTTTACAGTGGTGGTGATAGGAACCAGGGGTCGCCATGACTACAACACAAATATAGACATTTTATTTACTATCCAGAACCACCAGTGAACCTACACGAGTCTTCTGAGTTTATATGGAATGTTGATGATGGTGAAATAGTGGAAAATCTGAAATAAGGTTTTCACCCTGCATGTACCCCTCCACCATGAATGGGGTTAGAAAAAGGCCAGTGTGTTCATAACCGCTTCATGTAATATCTTTGTGTAAGGGGGCTTTTAGAGGTGAACGTCTGGGGCCGGATTCACAAAAGTGTCTTATTCTCCAGGGTATATTTTGTTTTTTTCCATCTGAATTTACAGGCCCAAATCGTAAGACAAATTATTCAGTAACTGCATGAAATAAATGTACATTTTTTTTTTTTTGTAATAGCTCCACTCAAATTAACAGAACGTGTTTTATGATCACACATATCGCTATATGCTTACAATTTACTGCTGAAAGCCAAAAATCTTAGACGCTCTTTGTATTATTTTATAAAAATAATTTTTACAGTGCAGATCACTGAAGAGACGCCGTCTGTTTATAGTTTATAGCCCAGATTTGAGGAAAAATGGGTCGACTTTCAGTAGACAAAACAAAAGTTGTGAGTTCAGCTTCTTTTATTATAAGGGTTTAAAATTACATCACCCATCTATTTGACTGGAAAGAAGACAGTTACAGCCTCATACGACCCCCACCTTTAGAATGCAGCTTATGAAATATGAAAGTAAAGAAGTAAAGAATATGACGAAGTGCGTCATCCTTAAGAAAAAGGTTGCTATTCTTCAAATAACTAAGAACTTTTTTTTTTTTTTCCTCCTAAATCTTTTCTTAAGAAAAACTCTAAGAAATGTTGGTATTCTTTATGTTCTTAAATAAGATCTTAACCTTACGACAGCCTCACACTTGTCTTAGGCTGTGAGAGATGACGAGGTGAGCATCTAAATTTATTAATATATATTTTAAATTAACTCAGCGCTGCCTCTGCTGCTCCTCATCCTCGCCTCTCGCTTTCCGCCGTCACCCCATGATTATCGTATTTTCCAAGGAGGATGTTTTTCCTGTTTATTCCACCGTCACCTCTAGTTCTTGCTTGCTAAAATTTTTAAACACTTGGTTTTGATGTTTTTCCTCCATTTTGCTCCTCTGGGCTGATTAAATAATGCAAATAACAGTTAATACAAACTAAAAAATGTACCTCGCTGCGTTATGGTCGGCTGTAAAATGCTCCACAGCCGCAGATTTTCTAAAAGAGCTGATTATCTTAAGAGAATATTTGAGAACTTATTAAGTATTTTTCGAGGATTGCATTTAAGAACATTCTCACGAACTTCTTAGTGTTTGTATTAAGAACCTTCACAAGCTTTCGTGAATCCAGCCCCTGGTTCCTCTCACCACCACTGTGAACAAGTCTGAGTTTCTCTAGAACAGAGCGTTTCACACCAAAACGCTCTGAACGACTTTCTTAACCACTTAATTAGGCAGAAATGTTGAAAAATGGGTGGAGTTCCCCTTTAAAACTTGACACACTGTCACTATAAATTTCCGCTTTTCTAGTCTTGAGTCACTGTTTAGTCTAGGCTTGATCTGAATCTGGGGGAAAAGGCCCTAAATCATTTTATTTTGGTAAACCCACGTTTGTGGAGCTCTCTGAAAGAGACCATGTGCCATACGAGATCAACGTCCTTATCAATCACTTTCACCAAGTCTGTCCTGCTTTTTCTCGAGCTTCGGTCCTGGTCAGGTCAGTTACCTTTGCTGGCAGAGGTAAATGTTTGACATTCCTCTATGTGTTGTCCTGCTTTTAGTTTTCCAGTAGTGTTGTAAAAGCACTGACGCTCAGTGTGAGACTTGTTTGACTTGCAGACTTTTTCTGTATTCTAGGATAAAAAAAACGGCCTGGGTCTGCCATTTTTGCCTTATCCTCGATTCTCTGTATGGGGGGTCCTGTTGGAGATGTTTACTGTACGTGTGAGTGCGTGTCCGTGCGTGCATGTGTGGTTTGGGTGACCTCAGGGGCTACTAAAGGTCCACTGAACTGCATGACGGCGATGACTCGCTGGTTCGAGTTGCTCTGCCGCTTCGCCAGCAGAGGGCGCTGGAGGAACAGAAAGTCTTTAGCCACGAGCAGATTCATTCCAAACTGTCCAGTGTGTGAGTAAATTCATTCTGTGCACATTTTAACGTCTGTGCTAGTAGTTCTGTGGAGAAAAACTCAAATGTGTACAGTTTTCCCTCCTTACCTCAAATTAGGGGTGGCAAAAAAATTACATCATGATAATTTGAGACATTTTCACACTACACTGTAAAAAATGACCTAAAAAAATACTTCACAACAAGTAAATTTTTATTCAACCTAAATAAATACTTTGATTATTCCAATCAAAGTAGTTTTTGAGTTCAAGTTTCTTGTTATAGTTTTTTTTTCTAGGTACATTTTTTACAGTGTATGCATCACAATATTTAGGTTTTCTGAGATTTAACAAGTTGGAACAGACAATATAGAACACAGGCCATGTATAAAACAACTATAATTAAAAATAATAAACCTACAGTGATTTTTCTTCAATGTTTTACAAACTTCGCTGCACTGAATCCACTTAAACAGGCCTAAATATGTTCACTTTGGAATTAAACATGTCAGTTCAAGTACTGAAGAAATCCATGACAAGCTTGGAAAAGCATATTGTGCCATAGTTTATCACAATAACGATAAAATATCATCATATTGCCCAGCCCTACCCAATATAGTTGATCAGCCAAGACTGGTTTGTTGTTTAAAGCTTGCTGCTTTAGTTTTGCTGGCACTATGTAGCTAAGAAGCCCTAGAGTCCTAACAGGAAGGTCTGTTCACTCATTGGTCATCTTTGCGACGCCGCAGGGCAGTTATTTCCAGCCATACAAGACCAGACTCCTCTTTCTTTGAATGGGGAGAGACCAAAAATACTCAAAACTAAAGGTCAAATTAGCGTTTAAAAGACATAAAACATTGGAAATGACAGATACAATCTAACCAAAACCTTATCAGTTTGTAGCGTTTGGCTTAATAAACACACAAAACCCTGATTTTTCTGGGTTCTTCTGGCTGCTGCGCAGATCTCACCGACGAGGGGGCGTTCGCAGCATAACCAGCAAGCTGATTGGCTCTTTTTCTTGAAGGGTGGGACTTTCTCCATAAACATACGCCATGTTGAGCATTATGAGCTTTCCTATTATAACCAGTGACCGTCTCTTCATATGGAACATCTCTGCTCTACTCAATCTGTTAGCATCTTGCTAACTGCACGCCTAAATCATCACAAACTTCGCTTGTTCATGTGGTTTCTGACATTGTGTGACACACCATTATCTATAAACATGGACAAACGAACATCAGCATAGCTACCCATACAGAAATCTGATATATGGGTTTCAAATATGATACATGATCATATATGGACTTCCATTATATACAGCTTATTATAGTCACATGTAGACATATATGTGACATATAAGCCAACTTTGAAATTGGCCATTTTCAAATATGGGACATACATTTCAGCCATATATCAACATATACAAACATATATATGTAGCACACATTCAACAATTTATGACAGAAAATATTGAAGGTATATATTCCTTTTATAGCGCTGATATCGGAACAAAACCTTGTATCTCCATCTTTGTTGTTTTTCAGTTTTTGACATAATTTGAAAATACTCAGTTGTCTATAAATTTCATGATGAATGGACCAACAAAAATGACTATAAATTACCTGGGTAAACGTCCGGTTCCATGTTTTGTAATATAAGGTTTTTAGGCATCTTATTTGTTTGTTCCACATTTGTCCGAATGTAGTGAACAGCTGCATAACCAAACTCTACATACATGTACATTATAACCTGAAATTAATGAGAATATTGTTCCCGTGACACATTAAAATAAGTTAGTGTTTAAACTCAGATAACGTAAGTAATTGTAATAAAACTGTATAATTAATCTGTGCTGTTATGCATTCAGCCACCTTTCAGACATGCATGTACACAAATCAGGCATAACATTATGACCACCTCTTTGTTTCTACACTCCTTGTCCATTTTATCAGCTTCACTTACTGCTGCAGTTTTTAAACACTGTGTCCACTCACTGTCCACTCTGTTAGACACTCCTACCTTGTCAGTCCATAGTTCATCTGCTGTGCACAGTTTGTGTTGGTCATCCTCTAGTCCTTCATCAGTGGTCACAGGACGCTGCCCACAGGACGCTGTTGGCTGGTGGACTATTCTCAGTCCAGCAGTGACACTGAGGTGTTTAAAAACTCCAGCAGCACTGCTGTGTCTGATCCACTCAGACCAGCACAACACACACTAACACACCACCACCACGTCAGTGTTACTGCAGTGCTGAGAATGATCCACCACCCAAATAGTACCTGCTCTGTGAGGGTCCATGAGGGTCCTGACCACTGAAGAACAGGGTAAAAGGGGGCTAACAAAGTATCAGAGAAACAGATGGACTACAGTCTGTAACTGTAGAACTACAAAGTGCACCTATATAGTAAGTGGAGCTGATAAAATGGACAATGAACGTAGAAACAAGGAGGTGGTCAGAATGTTATGCCTGACCGGTGTATGTACATGTATTTTGAAATATATGCCTGACCCTTTATGATGCGTCCATATATCAGATTTCTGTTTAGGGTAAAAACAGGTAAAAAACAGTAGCAGCTGTTGCTTGTTGGCTACGTTAGCTTAGTAGCCCCAGTTCATAACTAAAGAAGCAAACTTCATTCACCCATAAGGCAGGACACTGCATAACTTTGTCTTTTCACTGAACTTTTCTAGC